CTCCTGAGACTTCTCCTCAGTGTCATCCACAGCCTTTTATAAAAATCGCTTCCTTGATTACCGAGGTAACAATGAAAACACAATTGAATTCCAAGAAATTACTATTTTTATAACTTACGCCCCAGTTCCCGAGATAAATTAAATGTCTCTGTATGGTAAGCCACTCACTGCACATCAGCGGTGGGTTGATACGGCCCTTTATCATCGATGGACTTATTAAGAAGAATGCCTCACACTGCCTCCCAGGTTTCTATGACCTCCAGTCACGGCCCTGAGGGGCAGAGCTGTCTGGCTGGAGGCCGGGTGTAGGCTGTGGGTGGGTGGCCGGGTGGGCCCCTCCTGATCACTCCTGGCCCGGTTGCTGGCTAGCTGGTTGGTGGTGTGGGTGGTGGGTGGGAGGGCTGGTCAGGGTCTTTTCTTTGGGAGCCCAGGCTCCCAAGAAAATCAGGCCTGCGAGCAGCCCGGCAGCGATAGCTTTCTGAGCAGTGCAACCCTGGGAGCCAGAGTGGGGTAAAGACAGGGAAGCCGGGCAGGAGGAGGAAAGCGGAGACAGCATAGAGGGAGGAGGATTTACCCACCTGTCCCCAACCTGCTGGCCAAAGCTGATCCCACCCAACTGCGCCGGTGCCCAGAGGACCCATGACATTGCCAGGTCAGGCAGCAGAGCAGCTCTGAGGGAGGCAAGGCTCCGCTGAGGTGAAGCACCGCTCGGCACAGGGTCCGGGAGCAGGTGGGGGCAGCAGGGCGGCCACACCCACCCAAGGAGCTGCTGGGTTGGTCAGCAGAGGGGCGGGGAGGTGGGGTCAGCTGCTGGGATGGGCTGTTCATCTGCGAGCGGCTGGTAGTGGTTTTCCTGCTGGCAGTTGCTAGCGGCTGGGTTCTCGTGGCTCTCTGGCTGGCTGGGGGCCATTTGGGTTGGGGAGAAGCCCAAGCCTCCAGCTGTGGATTGAGTCTCCTGAAAATGTTTGCAGGCTGCACTCAGCAGAGCCAACTTCAAGCAAAGGACCCAAGTGTGACACTATTCACGTGCAAACCACCACCCAGAGTAGCCGGTTGCCTGAGGGCCCAGAGCCACCCCCTAGGAAACATCCACAGGTCAGAACCCTGGCAGTGGTGGTGGCACAGCGAGGAGGGGTGCTGTCAGGGGACAGAGGACCTGCTCCCTGAGGATGGGAGAACTGAGGCCCAAAGAGCGGCCTCCCAATTGATCTAGGCGAACTCAGGGTCAAGGGCAACAGGCTGAGGTCACCAGGAGCCTCAAAGACTGGCTCTGATGGGGAGATCTCTTTTTGGGGAGGCAGGTGGCCTCGGGCACCCCCTGGCATCTGGCCCAGAGGACTGGAGTGGGGTGCACCAGGAGGAACAGTTCGGGAAGGGGCGGGTAACCACACCCACAATGGTGCTCCTGCCTTCTCTCCCTCCCCTGCCTGGTCCCTGATTTCCCAGGGTCCCCTCCTCCCGCCACAAGGTCCTGCTGCCCAAGGGCCCACCTGGATGTCCCAGTGGGGCTTGAAACCCCTACAGTCGGGCAGCAGAGCATGACTTCTCAGCTGTGTGTCCTGGGCAGAGGCAAGGGAGGCCCCAGCACCTCTCGCCGCAACTCCAACCAACATGGGAATCCAGAGCTGCAGGGGACGGCCTGCCTCGGGACAGGGCTGGGCTCAGACCCCAAAGCCCAGGATTGAGAGAGCCTCTCCTCCGCTCTCCAGCCATCCTAGGCCCATTCCCCAGAGCCTGAGGCACCAACCTCGACCTGCTCCCAGCCTCACTCCCACCCACGCCACCCCACCAGAATACAGCCCAGCCCTCAGCCTGGCTCCAAGAACCAGGCTTGTTGGGCCTGAGGGCCTCCAAAAGGGCTCTGTTGCCAGGCCCGGGGGAGGGCAGAGGCCCCAGTCCAGGTCAGAAAGGGGCAGAGCGGACACATGGCCCCAGAAGGCCAGTGCTGAGATCTCTCCCTAGCCCTGCCCCCAGTAAACCTCTGGTGTGTCCCCTTGAGGCCCTCATGAGAAGAATGAGGCAAGCAGGGTGGAAATGGTGTGGTCACTCCAGAGCAGTGGCCGTACCCAGCCTCCTGGCCAGCCCTCCGCCCCAGACCAAGGCCCCAGTGGCACCTCCCAGGCTGGAGCCAGGGCCAGCCTCCCACCCTCGCCTGCTGAGGGGGCCGAGGCAGCAGTTGGAGGTGGGGGCTCCACCTCCCCCAGCCTCCGTCATTCCCTCTCAGGTGACTCTCCATGTGGTTTGGTTGGCCTCTTGCAGTCCCTGCCGGGGGGCCCCTGCTGACCCTAAGCTGGCCTCCTGTGGGCTGGGAACCTCTGGTTCCTGGTTCTTCCTCCAGATGGGCTGTCTCTTAGCTGAGAGCAGCGCCTACACCCAGGCCAATCTCTGGCCACAGCCTCACTGACCCAGGCCACAGCGGCTGCCACACCCTGGTCAGGGGCAGTCACGACCTTGGACAGGAGCTAGGACCCCTCCTCCAGACCCCGCTGCCCACTGACAAGTGGGACAACTAGGGGCCAGGCCGGGGCTGCCCGAAGGCTACTATGCTTGGGAAGGCCCCAGGACAGGAGCCCTGCCCCTTGGGAGGGGTAGCAAACAGCCCTGGGACAGTGCCGGGGTGTCTGGGATGATTCGTCACCATGTGAAATGTGGGATAGACACCCTCGACCCAACAAGGGAACTTCTGACTTCCCGACCAGCCCCTGTCCTAGGCCCCCATGGGAACTTCGGATCCAAATGGGAAGGGGGCTCCCCCAGCACTGCCCCTGCCCTGCCAGAGCTTCGGCTGGGCGGATGCCCCGACCGCAGCTCCCGAGAACCGCCTGGCCTGCGCTGGGCACTGCTTCTGTAGGGGCATGGTGCCATCTGGTGGTGAGACTGGGAACTGCACCACAGCTCCAGCCTGTACGTGCACACAAGTCCTGGAGACCGAGGGGCGGGCATGGAGGGTCTGGGAGCCCTGCCGCTCCTCACCTGCCCCTGGTCTCTCCCTCAACCCAGAAGCCTGGTCCTGGGGCACAGAGACAGGCCCCAGGGGCTCACAGCCCCGCACTGTGTTTCCTGCTCCAACAGGCAGCCTAGTCCCCAGGACGTGCTGGGCGGGTACAGGGCAGCAACGGGGATGGGCAAGGAGTCCTGGCTCTTGGCCCCAACAAGGACCTGGGAAATGACCTTGGCACCAACCATCAGGCACTCTGCCACCCTGTCCCCCCCGAGCTCCACTGTCCGACTAGAAGGGGTAGGTGGGCAGGGAGTGCCAAGAAGGTGGACTGGCCACGCCGGGGGGCTCCTCAGGGGCAGGGTGTCTCGGGTCCTGGGCAGGGGTGGGCATGTTCAGTTCAGTCCGGGCAACTCTGGAGCCAGAGGCCTGGCAGCCCCAGCACAGCCACCTCCTGAGGCTTTGGAGCCCTGGTCACGCCAGCTAACAGTCATTTACTGGGGCTGCCTTGTCCATGAGAGGATTTTTCCTTGACATTCTTATATCTCTCTGATTCTTAAATAAAAAATGTGAGAAGCCATGTCCAGAGACTCACCCAGGAGGGAGACAAATGGCCTGCTATTGCCTGCACCCTGGGAGCGGCTTGGCCATACTGGGGACGGGGCAGACAAAGGGGGCGCCCTTACCTCTCTGAGCCTTGCCTCTGACATGGGGAAGCCCCAGGGACAGGGAGGTCGTGGGCCCAGCATCCCCAGCACTCTGCCCTTCTCCCACACCCTGTTCCCAGGACCCAGCCCCCATCTGTCCTTTGTCCCCTGAGGGGTGCCCCACAGGGTGGGAAGGCAGGGGAGGCTGCCCAGCACTCAGGGCATGTGTCCACTCGCCACCCTGGCCCTGGACAGGGCGGGACGCTCTGCAGGCCACCGCATCCCTCATATAGCCCCCGGTAGACCCGTCCTCTTGGCTGTGAGTCTAGGGGAAATTGGGAGGCCCAAGACCACTCTTGGAACCCCATGGGCCTGACCGAAGGCCACCATGCACCTCTTCCCCTCCTGAGGCAAAGGAGCGCTCACGCCTCAGGCTACAGCCCAGGCCCTGGGAGGACATGAAGGGTAGTGCCCATGTCACGGCCCTCGGCTTGGCCAGTCCACCTTCTTGGTCCCAGGTTTTCTGGGACCCCCAACCCTCCACGTAGGGCAGCTCTGAGGGCTGAAGAGGGAGCAGACCCTGCCAGGCAGCCTGGAGGGTGTAGGCCAGGAGCCCAGGTTAGGGGGCACAGAGATGGAGTCCTCTGAGGGCTGGAGCTGGCCCAGTGACCCCAAGTTCCATCCACTCAGGGCCTATTTCTTGGCTTTTGAGATATACTTGGAAGCAGCCAAGCAGGGCGAGGTGGCTCACACCTGTAATCCTAGTATTTTGAGAGGCTGAGGCAGGCAGATCACTTGAGCCAGGAGTTCAAGACCAGTATGGGCAACACAGCCAGACCTAGTCTCTACAAAAACAAAATAATAAAGAATTAGCGACGGGGCGTGGTGGCTCAAGCCTGTAATTCCAGCACTTTGGGAGGTAGAGACGGGCGGATCACGAGGTCGGGAGATCGAGACCATCCTGGCTAACACGGTGAAACCCCGTCTCTACTAAAAAAAATACAAAAAACTAGCCGGGTGAGGTGGCGGGCGCCTGTAGTCCCAGCTACTCGGGAGGCTGAGGCAGGAGAATGGCGTAAACCCGGGAAGCGGAGCTTGCAGTGAGCTGAGATCCGGCCACTGCACTCCAGCCTGGGCGACAGAGCGAGACTCCGTCTCAAAAAAAAAAAAAAAAAAGGAATTAGCTGGGCGTGGTGGCACATACCTATGGTCCCCAGTACACAGGAGGCTGAGGTGGGAGGATCCCTTGAGCCCAGTTGGAGGCTTCAGTGAGTTGTGGTCGCACCACTGCACTCCAGCCTGGGCAACAGAGTGAGACCCTGTCTTAATAAAAATAGAACATAAATAAAATGAGCTTGGGGTATGAACATCAAGTCCGCAGTGCGGACAGCAGAACAGCCACATCTGGCCCCTGCCCTGGGCCGCAGCCCAGCTCCAGCAGGAAGGACTTGGGTCTCCATGCTGGGCGTCCCAGCCTCTCCTCCTCTTTGCCCTCCCAGCCCATACCTGGGCAGCGGAGGAGGGGCAAGGGCACAGGGTGGCCCCTCTGAACCAGGCTCCCTGAGGCCACCTGGACACTGTGGCAACATGGGCAAGAACTGGCTTCCATGGCAACTGGCGTCCAGGGAGGCGCTGCCTGGCAACAGGGCCATGGCCCCCCCAGCACGCCGTACTGGCCACACTTTCCGCCCTTGAGGCCGAGAGTTCCGGCTTCCAGCCAGTGCCCCCGCCACAGCCGCAGCCGCGCCCTGTCCTGCACGACATCCCGTAGCCTGGACCTGAGGCGAACCCCTATGCCCACCCCAATCCGGGACACCGCTTGGCAGGGCACTCGGCCTTTGTTAGCGTATCTGACCCTGTGAGTAGGGGACCCCAGGGCTGGGGATCCAGGACCCCGTCTCTCCAAGAGTCCCCCACCTTTTCGGGCTCAGGGAGATTGGCAAGGACCACAGGGAGGGGTGAGAGGAGCTGGGGGAGGAGGGGCTCCACGGCTGACAGAGAGCAGCAGCCTTCCCTGGCACAGGTAGGGAGAGGGGTGGGGGCGTCAGGGAGTTCAGGGTTTCCAGGCCAAGGAGGATGGTGCCCAGGGGCAAGGGTGATGGGAGGACACTGGGCCACCCAGGGTGTCCCGGGCGCCCCCTCGGGGCCACTGGGGAATCTCATCTGGGCCTGGGCACCTATGTTGGGACCTAAGGACCCTGCCCTGCTGTTCGCCCAGGAATCCAGTGTTGTCTTCCTTATTACAGGGGCCACCCGTCTCCATGAAGACCTTTCCCTCCTCAGCATCCTGGCCCCTGAGGGGCACCTAGCAGGCTGGGGACATACGGAGCAGGTGCAGCCCCCACCCCACTCAGGGACACAGAGAGCAGGGGGCAGCCCCCGCCCCACTTACTCAGGGACCCAGAGAGCAGGGGGCAGTCCCCGCCCCACTCACTCAGGGACACAGAGAGCAGGGGGCAACCCCCCGCCCACTCACTCAGGGACACAGAGAGCAGGGGGCAGCCCCCCGCCCACTCACTCAGGGACACAGAGAGCAGGGGGCAGTCCCCGCCCCTGCTGCACAGGACCTCCTCCATCCCACCCCAGGGCCACCTCGCCTCAGGGCTCCTCCAAGCGGCCTTCCTTAGCCCCCATCCCAAGTTGCCCCATGGGGTTTCTCAGCTCAGCACCTCCTGAGACCCATGACATTCCAGCAAAGAATGAAAAGGGCACAGGCTAGGGGAGGGTCCTAGAAGCTGCCACCACCCTCTGGCAGCTAAACAGACAGCCTCTGGCAGCCAGGACCAGGTGTCCAGCCGCCTCTGCTGGGGAGGCCCCACGTGGCACCGAGAACAGGAGAGAGGTCATCTGCAGACAAGATATTTCGAGACACTTGAGGTGGAGAGTGGAGGCTGACGTAGCAGGACAGCCTGGCAGGAAGAAGGCAAGCGGCAGCCAAGCAGTGGCCTCGTCACTGGTGTGAGGAGACATGTGCTGCGAACAAGCATGGCAGGACAGCAGTGGGAGCTGGTACTGTCCCCACTCCAGACGGCAGCCCTGCAGCCCGAGATGCCGCCTGGAGGCAGGAGGCCTCCCTCCCAAGACCTGGGTGTCCGGCTTCCTCAAGTTAAAAAGGAGAGAGGAGTGCCTGGCAGCTCTGCCTGCCTCCCCTATAAACAGGGATCGAAAAGAAGGAAAAGGCAGATATTTGAGCACTGAGTCTCATAGGAAGTTCCAAGACTAAACAAAACAGAACCACAAGAGAGAAAATGCAGAAAGAAAAGATTTGCCTTCCCCCAAACCCACTTTATCCCTAAGAGCAGAACAGAATTCTCTGGAACTAGAAGAGGGGAGCTTGGGGAACGATGGAGATGTCTTGGAAATGAAAAACAGGACTGCTAAAATCCAAAACCAATTTTTAATTTTTGTTTATTTATTTGTTTTGACACAGAGTCTGGCTCTGTTGCCCAGGCTGGAGTGCAGTGACACAATCTCGGCTCACTGCAACCTCCGCTTCCTGAGTTCAAGCCGTTCTCCTGCCTCAGCCTCCTGAGTAGCTGGGATTACAGCCGCCCACCACCACGTCCAGCTAATTTTTGTATTTGTAGTAGAGACTGGGTTTCATCATGTTGGCCAAGCTGGTCTGGAACTTCCGACCTCAAGTGATCTGCCTGCCTCGGCCTCCCAAAGTGCTGGGACTATAGGTGTGAGCCACTACGTCCGGCCCCAAAACCAATTTTTTAAAAAGCAGAGAAAGAGTGTGTGTGTGTTTGGATTCAGGGAAGTCTATCTACAAGCAAAGGTGGAAAGAAGGACTCACAGGATCAATTCAAAAGGCCCAACATCTGACTGACAGGAGTTCCAGAATGAGCAGGAAATGAGAAGAAATGTTGTCAAAGAAATGCCAGGTCTCGAGGCAGAACGTGTTCACCAAGCGCCCAGCGCTGTGAGGAAGGAAACACTCGCAGTTGGTGTGACCCCCAGAGGTGCAGGGATCAGAGGGGACCCTACAGGCTTCTGGGGAGAAGGCTGGCGGCCCGGCCAGCTCTCACCACCGAGGACCACTACCGGCCTTCCACTCCTGTGGGAAAACGCCCTCAGCCCCGATTCTCTCCCCAGCCCGATGTCCAGCAGGCGTGAGGTCAGGGTAAGATGCCTGTAGGCCTGTGAGGCCTCTCAGTGTCTCCTCCCACGTCACAGCCCACTCCAAAACTCAGCGGCACAACCACCATGGCAGCCCGGGGCTCGGCAGTACATGGCCAGCAACTTGGCTGCCGTATGGGCCGGTTCCCTGGGGGTCTCGCTGGGCTTGTCCTCCCATCTTCAGGCAGCTGGGGACCAGCTGGGCTGACAGAAGCCTCTCCTGCCCCATGGCCTCTCATCCTGCAGCCCAGCCCAGGCCTCCTGCAGAGAGGACAGTCCCCACAGCCAAGCAAGAGAGGTCCAGGCCCAGCGCACAAGTGTCGTGCCACCCTCTACCCACAGCAGCTTAGGAGCATCCCGTTGGCCAAGTGCATCCAAGGCCGGCCCAGAGCCCAGGGGTGGAGACCAGGACCCGCCTCTTGACGTAGGAGTTGAAGTTACCTTGCAGTGGACCAGGACACCGAGAGAGCAGGGAACGGGGCTGTTCCTACCACACGAGGACTTCTCCGAGCCAGCTTTCTGAGGGTTAACTGAGGGCTGAGGGGTTCAAGAAGGAAGACACAGGCACTGGGACTCAGGGGCAGTGAGGGGCAGCGGGGCCGATGGCGTGAGGAGCATCAGGGAGCAGGAGGGAACGGGCCTGGGGCGTGAATCTGGCCCCACTGTTGCATGAGTGCTCTTCAGCCGCCCAAATCCCGTCCCACCGGTAACAGCGTGGCCTTCGGCAGGTGACTAAAGGGCTTCCTGCCTCAGCTTCCCCACCCGTAAACAGAGGGTAACAATGGCATGCACTGTATCTGGCATAAAGTAAGTGTTCAATACATAGCTAGAAAAGAATGTTTTAAAACCTCAGAGATACATTAGGTGAAAAGAAAAGCTGGGCTACAGGATGACATCTTCAGTGGGAACGAGAGGCAGGCTACGGGATGACCTCTTCGGTGGGAATGAGGGGCAGGGGACGGCAGCCCACCTCCAGGAGCTTAAAGAGGAGGCTCCTGTCTGCAGGGACAGGAGACAGAGGTGGGAAAGTCTTGGACACCATTTTTATTGTTTGATATTTTTTGAATCCACACTGTGTCTGTGTGTGTGTGTGTGTGTGTGTGTGTGTGTGTGTGTGTGTGTATCATCTGTTTTACATCTTAAGAAAAATAACCAGGCTGGGTGCAGTGGCTCACATCCGTAATTCCAACATTTTCAGACGCTGACGCAAGAGGATTGCTTGAGGCCAGGAGTTTGAGACCAGCCTGGGCAACACAGTGAGGCCCCCATCTCTACACAAAAATTTAAAAATTAGCCGGGCATGGTTGCACACACCTGTAGTCCTAGCTACTTGGGAGGCTGAGGTGGGAGGATTGCCTGAGCCCAGGAGATGGAGGCTGCAATGAGACATCATTGTGTCACTGCGCTCCAGCCTGGGTGACAGAGCAAGATTCCCTTCTCATAAAAAGAAAGAAAAAAGGCCGGGCGCAGTGGCTTAAGCCTGTAATCCCAGCACTTTGGGAGGCTGAGACGAGTGGATCACGACCTCAGGAGATCGAGACCATCCTGGCTAACACGGTGAAACCCCATCTCTACTAAAAAAAATACAAAAAACTAGCCGGGCGTGGTGGCAAGCGCCTGTAGTCCCAGCTACTTGAGAGGCTGAGGCAGGAGAATGGTGTGAACCCGGGAGGCGGAGCTTGCAGTGAGCTGAGATCTGGCCACTGCACTCCAGCCTGGGCGACAGAGCGAGACTCCGTCTCAAAAAAAAGCAAAAGAAAAAAGAAAAGAAACTCGCGCATGGTGGGTCGGTGGGTCAGAGGCAGTGAGGTCATCAGGCGGGGCAACTTCAGAACCAGGTGGGAGGGGCCCATTGTGACCTCCCTGGCTGCACCCAGGCCTTTGTGACTGTTGCCTGGGGCAGCCTGGGAGCCAATGGATCACCCAGAGCCCTCAGTAAGAGGGTGGCAGGTCGGGCCAGGCCAGAGCCTGGACCTGGGGTCAGGAAGGGGTTGCAGGGAGGGATGGAGGGACTGAAAACCTTGGGCCCCTGTGGCCACCCCCACCCCCAGTGTCCCCCAGCCCCAGCCTCCAGCAGCCATGGAGAATGCCTGGACCAGCCCTGCCAGGGATTTGCAGGGTGGCCCTGCCTGGGCCCCATCTCCTCTGCTCACTCAGTGCAGTCCCAGAGACCTTTCCCAGTCCCAGGGGCAGGGGGCAGGGGGCCCAGAGTGGAGGGCGAGGCTCCTGGGCTCTTTCTGTCCAGCCAGGAGCAGAGAGCGAGAGACCCTGAGGGGCCGCGACAAAGAGACGTGGAGCCAGGGCTTGGGTGGGGCTGGCCCCTGCACCCAGGGTCAAACCAGGGGGCTCCCAGGCAGGGGGAATCCACTGGTTCAGAGCCCAGACCCTGCCCATGCCCACCCCTGTCACCAGAGGGAGGGGCCCTGGCCTCTGCAGAGCCGCTGGGCTCTGCAGAACAGTCCTTCCTGCAGCTGGAGCAGGAGAACCACAGCCTGGTGAGCACCCCACCCACCGCCTGGCACCCCAGCCCCAGCCCCAGCCCCTGTCCCTGCCCCAGCCCCAGCCCCAGCCCCAGCCCCTGCCCCGCCCACCGCCTGGCACCCCAGCCCCAGCCCCTGCCCCAGCCCCTGCCCCAGCCCCAGCCCCAGCCCCACCCACCGCCTGGCACCCCAGCCCCAGCCCCAGCCCCTGCCCCAGCCCCAGCCCCAGTCCCAGCCCCAGGAGCGGCCATAACAGGCAGTCCCCTCTCTCTGCCCCCCACCCCCAGAAAAGGCAGAACCAGGACCTTCGAGAGCAGCTGGGGGCCCTCCTAGGGCCGGGGCAGCAGTTCCTGCCCCTGTGTCCCGAACACACAAGCTGCAATGCTCTGGCCTGGGTAAGTACAGGGCCCAGGGACCCCATGCAGCCAATGCCCCACTAGCCCATAGCCTTGGGGCTGATCTGGGGGCTCTCCCACAGCCCCCCGACCCAGCTGGCACGCAGCCCTTGGGGAACAGGGCACCTCTGCAGCTGCTGCGGCGGGAGCTGTGCCAGGGGCAAGAGGCTTTCGTGCAGCAGTCCCAGGTGGGCCTGGGGGAGGGGCTGTGGGGGAGGAGCCTTTGTGCAGCAGGCCGGTGGGCCTGGGGAGGGCTGTGGGGGAGGAACCCTCGTGCAGCAGGCCGGTGGGCCTGGCAGGGAGGTACCGGCCACCCTGCTGATGCCGCCCAAGCCCACCCTTGGCCCCACCCTCAGAACGAGCTGCAGCAGATCCGCCTGTGCTTTGAGAGGAAGAAGATGGTCATCACAGAGGTGCCCGCCTGGCTGAGGGGGAGGGGTGCTGGGGGCCCACCCAGTGGGTCTTGCTCCTCAGGCGTGACCCCACTCCCCCCAGGTGTGGGACAGCGTGGCTGAGATGCACATGGCCCTGAACAACCAGGCCACCGGCCTCCTGGTAGGTCCCCACAGGACAGCACCCGGAAGGACAGGGCCGGACAGGCAAGAGGCCGGGGAGGGTGGGGCCGGGGCCTGCTGTGCTTACCTCCTCTGGCCCCCAGAACCTCAAGAAGGACATCCGGGGTGTGCTGGACCAGATGGAGGATATCCAGCTGGAGATACTCAGGTGACGTGGGGGCAGGGGCCAGGCCGGCTGAGCAAGGTCTCGGAAGGGGTCCTGGTCAGGACAGGGCAGACCCATCCTTGACCCCCCACCTCCACAGCACCGAGCCAGGGGGTGAGTGCCAGGCTGGGGGTGGAGGGCATGGGGTCCTGACCGTGAGGCCCCTGCAGGGAGCGGGCCCAGTGCCGCACTCGAGCCAGGAAGGAGCAGCAGATGGTGAGCATGGCAGTGAGCCGCCCACGCCCCACTCTGGGTCTGGACACCAGCCTCCCCACCCAGGGCCCTACTTGGGCGAGGGGGAGAAATGGGCTCCAGGAGGGCGGCCCAGGGCAGGGGCATCCGAAAAGAGGCTGCAGGAGCCTGTCCAGAAGGAAGGGGCCGGGGTTGCGGTGGGGGGACCCCTGTCTGAGGAGGGTTTCCCAAAGCCAGGGATCCCTGCCCTCAGCCTGAACCCTCGGGGTGGGCTCTGATCCAGCCCCTCCCCGACAGAAAGGGAGGCCAAAGCTGGGAAGCTCCAAGAGCCTGGCAGGCCAGCTCTGGTAGGTGACTGCGTGGCAGAGACCAGCCCCCAGGCCCCCCGCGCGCCCCTGCCCCTGACCACCGCCGCCCGCAGGCTGCTGACCCTGAGGCTGCTGCTGGGCACCTTGCTGGTCTGGACCGCTGCCTACGTGTACGTGGTGAACCCCACGCCCTTCGAGGGGCTGGTGCCGCCCCTGCTGAGCCGCGCCACCGTCTGGAAGCTCCGGGCCTTGCTGGACCCCTTCCTGCGCCTCGAGGTGGACGGCTTCCTGCCCTTCTAGGCCGGAAGCCCAACGGCCCCAGCGAGGAGGCCAGGCGACCAGCACTGCCCCGGATGCCCAGTGGCCGCGCCGGCCCCCTGCACATAGCACCACTGTGCACCGTCCCTGCCAGGAGCTGCAGAGAAGGGTGGAGGCGGGGTCTGTCCTGAGGGCTGGGCCTGTGGCTGGACATAGAGTCATGACATATGTGGCCGGTGAGCATGTCTCTGTGGAAATTGGGGGAGGGACACCGGGCGACCCAGCAGTGAGGGTCCATCAGGGTGGAGACCCCAGCCTCAGGGCTGGCTTCCCACCCCACATCCCACCTGCCCTCCAGAAGGCAGCCCCTCTGCACAGGGCTCTGACCCCTAAGGCGTCTTAGGAAGGTCTCCGCTGAAAGGCAACAACAGTGAGGACCGGGGGATCCTCAGGTCTTATCCCCTGGGCCAGGCCTTCCCGGGGACCTCAGAGGTCAGGTTTTCAGTGCTGACCCTGCTGATCCACTGACCTCATGCCCCTCATGCAACTCCCCTCCCTTCCTGGCCACCACCCGCCCTGCCCAGGTCCTGTCACCTCCCCAACCCAGGGCCCTGTCCGGTACAGGGGGCCACACTGGTAGACAGAGCTGTGGAGATCAACACCAAAAATTTTATTTGGGGAATTAATTAGCAGGGGTGCCCTTAAGAACAACAGAGAAGAGTTTTGCGGCTTTCTCGTCCCCAAATGGGAGAAATAGAGCCGCAGCCCAGGGTGCACCCAGGGACGGGGACCCTGTGCCGGAGAAGGGCTGGCCGGAGTGCCACCCTGCTGTAGTCCATACCACTGCTGGAGGACACAGGACATGGGCCTCGGGCCCTCTGAGCTCCCACCAGCATCGTCTCTGGGTGCAGGCAGCCCCAGTGGGGCCCAGGCAGAGCTGGCCATGACTACAGGACCTTGGTGGCAGGCAGGGGCCAGTGGCTCACCAGGCTGGCAGCTCCACGAAGTTAAGGCATCTGTTCATGTGTCAGGGGAAGGGCAGGAGGAGTGCAGAGACCTTCGGGGGCAACCTGAGACCCCCCCAACCCAGCCCAACCCACGGAGGCCTGGGCTCCCCGAGGAGGAAGTGGCTTAGTCTAAAGTGCTTGGTTGGACAGGGAGGCTGGGCAAAGGTCGTGCTGGTCCCCACAGCTCTGGGGCTGCCCCCTGTGGGGTGCTGGACCCCCTGCAGCAGGTGAGGGACTTCCTGAGGTCATGTGGACACAGGGTCTCGGGCCCTGGCAGGCTGGGAGTCTGTCAAGCTGTGGCTGGTGGAGCAGAGAGCCCAGCCCACCCCCAGCCCTGCCCGAGGGTCCATGGTAGTCTGACCTCCTGGGTCCCCAGCTGGGCTGTCCCGGGCCCCAGAGCTGCCTACTTGTCATCCTGCTAGGGCCCGGAGAGGCTGGGGAAAAGACTGGAGGCAGCCAAGTGCAGGCGGCACATAGCCCCGCGTGGGGCTGCCCCGGCGGCCGGGCTCCAGGGGGCCCGCAGTGGTGGGCGGTCCTCCGGGCGGCCAAGGTGGCACAGGTGCAGCCCAGGAGGCACCCAAGGCTGGCCACGCCGCCCCCATCCACGGGTGCAGGTGCCAATCCGCCCCCTGTGGGCCGCGGCGTCCATGAGAGAGAAGCAGAAAGGTGGAGGTCAGCTTCAGGGCCCTACAGCCCGCACACCTCCCGCACTGGACAGCCCCAGCCCAGGCTGTCTCAGCCCCGAACAGCTGTGCATCCCTCACACTCCCTCAGCCCTGCCCCTGGGATTTGGCAGGCAGGAGAGTTCCAGCAGGTTCAGCACCCCCACCCCGGGCCCTGAGCCAGCAGGTGGCCCCTATGCACCCCCATTTCATCTCCCCAAGCACTTGGGTTCCTGGGATTCCCCTGTGGGTAGCGGCAGACCCAAATCTTTCCCGTAAACACCCTGTCACTGCCAGAACTGACAAAGACCCAAGGCGAGAGACCATCACACTTCCCAGCCACAGGCCATTGGCCGCCCCCTCCTCGCAGGCCTCTGAGTTGGCCCAAGTCGGCAGAAATGCCCCCGAGGAACCCACCTACCCCTGCACAACAGACAGCAGCCACCCCCTCTTCTGGGGCCTGGCCCCTGCCTTCCCCTAACCTGGGTGTCCTGCAGCAACAGCCCTGGCCTTGCCCAAGGAAAGAATCAAAATAACTCTTTTTCTTTTTTTTAATAAAATTATAGATATATAGATGTAGATATAAAAACATAAAACAGACACAACGCAAGCGGACGCTATCGTGTGCTTACTCTCAGGTCCCTGACACCAAGGGAAGCACGGATCCCTCCCCAGTGTGCTTTCCCGCGGCGCAAGCACCGCAGCCAGGCCAGGGCTGGGGACGTGGCATGCCTTGGGGCGGGGATTCTCCAGTTTGGCAGGGAGGGCCTGAGGGCTGGGGAGGGGGCTCTAGGTGTCACTGGCCCCCTGTGGCAGCATCACCCCCGTGCCTGCTCCCGCCTGCCCCCCGTCGCCTCCCACAAGAGCATGAAGCAAAGGTTAAGGCTTTGATGAAAGGGACAGCGGCGGCCGGAGCACTGACACATCAGACACGGTGCGGCAGCACAGCACACAGACACGGGACACAAGCCCGCCCGCCGGGCAACACAGGACACATGGAGCCGGGCCCCCCGCCACAGCTGGCTGGCTGGCCGTCTGTCCACCTATCCACCACCACCCAGAGCAGGCCAGGGCAGAAGCATTGGCCTTGCCAAGCTACAAGCTTCCAGCGGGGTCCGTGAAAGGCAACGCGTTAGTTAGGAGTAGCCTGGCGGGGGACACTCGGTCCGGGAGCCCACAGGCTGTGTTGGAAGGAAGGAGGGGGCTCTGGATGCCTCTGTCCATCTCTGGGACCCGTCCGTAAGGGGGCCGTTGGGGGCTGGCCTGGCGATGATCTGGGGTGCATGGGTGATGGGAGTGGACCAAGCCTGGCTGAGAGAGGGTGCCCCAAAGAGGCTGACTGGGGCCCCCTCACTGCCCCAGCCATGGGACGGGCCCAGACACAGAACAGCCCAGTGGCCCTTGGCCCAGTGAGCCGACTTCCCCATGGGCAGATGAGTGGACGGGCAGGCAGAGCGCTTGGGGCAAGCTGTGGAGGCGTGGCACTCTCTCCCGCTGATGGGTCCACACCAGGTTGGGGTGGTTCTCTGTCCCTGGGGCAGAGAAGTCGGTGGGGGGGAGCACGCTGTGGGGTCCTGGTCCCCGTGGCACCACGGCAGATGGGTGGCAGTCAGTCCTCACACCGAGATCTCGTACGTGGTCCCACCCACGCCGGACACCTTCTTAACCAGCGTGTGCCTCGTAGGGCTGGCAGAGGGCCCTGAGGGGCCGGTGGCAGGTCCCAGCCGGGCCAGGCCCGGGGACTGCCCATTAAGCTTACTTGGGGGAGTCTTCAGCTGAGGGTGGTCCCTGCATCAAAACAAGCACATACACGCATGCACACGGTGAACACAGGAACACATGGGGACAGAGGACGGAGGAGGCAGCAGGACAGAGACGACACGGACGTGGACTAGTGTAGCCAGGTCGTGGGGCCCCAGGCAGTCCCTGCCCTCTGGGCTCAGAGGGTTCACCTGGAAAGCAGGTGGGAGATGCAGAGCCTGCCTGGGGAGTGGCTGTGCCGTCACAGGACAGACAGATGTCACCACAACTGCCACCACCCTCCCAGGTCCCTGGGTCCCTCCTAGGCAGCACTGGCCACAGAGAGCATGGGGCAGCCAGGTGGGCACTGACCGGAGCCCCTGCCCTGCCCTGCCCTGGGAGCCTGGTCACTCTGCCTGGCCTCATTCCTGCTCTCTCTCAGGAAAACGAGGGGCTGCCCTCCTGCCCACCAGCACTGACCAACAGCAGCTCTACCCTTGCCGCTTAAACCTTCTCTAGGCGAGGGCCCTTTGTCCCAGGGCTGCAATCCCTGCCTGGCTGCAATGCTGCCCACTTCTAGGTCTCAGGCTCCCCATTCATCACTGCCAATGGCAGCCTCCTCCCCAACTCCACAAAAGCTGAACAGACTCCCACCCTGTGGGGTAAGGGAGGTCTGCTCAGGGCTGGATGGACTGCTGTGCCCTCAGCCCCTTTGTGGCCAAGTGGCCTGGGCTGGGCTGGGCTGGGCTCTCCCCCTGGGGCCACATCTGCTGACGGGAAACAGCTGAGCCTGTGCTTGAGGTTTCCAGGCCTGGACCAGGTGACAGACACCATGAGGACACCATGTGCCGCAGCCTGGGTCCTGGCCCCAGCAGGTGTGCAGTTCTCCTACCTGGGCCTGGGCCTGCGAGCCAGCTGACCCCGCTTTCTCAGTTACCAACCTGCTGGTTGCCTGGAGCCAGCCCGCTTTCTCCAATCTTCAGTTTCCCCACCTACGAGCAGGGAAGTCCCTGCTTCCTAGAACTATGTCCCACAGGGAGGGCCAGGGACTGGTCACCCAGGATGGCACATTCTGCTGCTAGGTAATGTCCTCAGCCCCAGCGTCCTAGAGATGCAGCAAAGCAGACCCAGGGAGAGCCCTGGGTGGACAGGGCCACAGTGACCCAGGAAGCCAGAGCCACAGCCTAAAGGAGGCCCAGGTTGCCGCATGACACCGGCCCCAAGGAGAAAGCCCCACGGCCTCCCACATGCTGGGTCTGTGCCAGCTCTGGGGGAACGAGTTGTCGGGCTCAGGACACAAATTCTCATACCCTGTGCCCAGGACATCCTCAGAGCTGGGCCACACAGGCTAGCCAGGGCCTTCAAGGCAGGGCGAGGCGCATCCTCCCTGTCCCGACCCCAGAGAAAAACTCAGGCCCCTGGGATGACCTATGAGTACCCAGCCAAGAGGGGCCCTGCAGACGGCTGGACAGCTGCCCTGTGCCAGGAAGCCCACCCGCACCTCCCGGCACCCACCTCTGCACGGCCAGCGAGGGCGGTGGCTCTGGGAGGTCCGTGTGGATGAAGGCGACAGCTTTGGGGCCTGCGTAGGACGGTGAGTGGGGAGTGCCGGGCGGGGAGGGCAGGCCCTGGCGTGCAGGCGACCTGTGTGAGCCACTGCTGGGCCGGGGCCCCGGGGCGTTGCTGCTGGCCTGATCAGCCTGCAGGGAAGAGGACGACGTCCGCGGTGCACGGCTCACGGAGCTGGACAGCGAGGACAGTGATGTCTGCAGGGCAGGGTTGCGGGCGCCGCCAAAGCCGGGCCCGGCCACAAGGTCGTCTCTGGAGCCATAGCGCAGCGTGGAACCTCGGGGGCCCTCGGACAGCACACTGGCCTGCTGCAGACTGTAGGAGCTGGGCGCGTCATAGACGCCTGAGTCGCCGAAGAGAGAGTCGGCCTGGGAGCGCAGCAGGCGCTCACGCTCCTCCCTGTCCTTGCGCTCCTGGATGGATGCCATGATGGTCCTGGACAGGTTGTCGTAGCGCACAGGCGAGGGCTCCCGGGGCCTGGGGCCCAGCACGGGGCTGAAGCTGCGGGGCAGGGGCCGTGGCGGGTCGCCCGTCGCCCCAGGGTGCAGGTAGGGTGAGTGGTATCCAGCCACGCCAACTGCTGGATGGGCGGGGCAGGCGTGGCCACCAGGTGAGCCAGGGTTGAGCAGGCTGTCGTAGGACAGGCTGCCGTTGCGGTTGGGCAGTGCATGGGGGGCAAAGATGCTACGGTGGGGCGTGGGAGGCCCACCCTCGGAGCGGAGGGGCTGCAGGGCCACGTGGTCCCCGCCCCGCCGGCTCGAGGCCTTGAGGCTCAGGGAACGCAAAGCGCCCGAGAAGGCATCAGAGGCGCTGAGCGGGGGGGATGGCGGGTAGGCTGCGTGCAGGCCCCCGGGTCCGTAGTCAGGGAGGTCCAGGCTTGGCTCGGACACAAAGTCCAGGCTACGGATGCTGTCATCCCCCAGGGTCAGGGAATCAGGGCCTGGAACCTGTAGGGAGAAGGCATTCTCACCACTGCCTGCCTGCCACCCTACCTGCAGCCGCCAGTCAGCACCCACGGGGGCCACACCTGGCACCATGGCCTCAGGAACTGGGCCTCAAGGAGCCGTAAGAGTCACACAGTGACCTATGGTCCTGTCCCTGAGCACCCAAGGCCCTGTCCCTGAGCATCCATGGCTGAGGGGCCGGGGCTCTGCAGTGGGAGGGAGGCCACAACTGGCTGTTGCAGACACCTGGGGCTCTGCCCTTGGAGCCACATAGCCCCAGGGGCCCGCCACTCAGGGCAGCCACAGGGAGGAAGGGCCTCATCTAGCCTCTGTGATGGGCACATGGGCATGGGCTTGGGCTTGGGACAAGAGCCTCAGGAACCACAAAGCCAGAAGGGGATCAGGGCAAATGTGGGATCAATGCACTTGGCCAACCAGACCCAATCCCCCACTGCACCCAGGAGTCCCAGGAAGATGACGTATCCGGAGCCCTCATCTCCAAGCAGGGCTGCCTCCTCCTTCGAGGCACAGCCCCTGCATGCCTGCAGACTCAGATCCTTGGCCAAGGAGGCCCAGACTCACTGCTCCACCCAGTGACTCTCTCCAGGAAGGACATCAATCCTGAGGGGAGAGGTCCCCGGGGATGGGGCTCATCTAGGTGCACGGGGCCCAGCCACAGGGTGCCTTTTGGGGTGGCCCAGAAAGAACAGAAAGAAGGATGACACTGTGGGACTGTTGGGTGTTCTGGTTCACTGCACAGACCGCCCCACACTGCCTACTACTCCAGCGACCACAGAGCACTCATGCAACTCAGGGAAGAGAAATGTGCTTTCTCAAGCATGTCTCAAATTCTTCCGAAGTCTTCCCGTGGGCCTTACAGAGTGACTAATGGTGGAATTCCAGGCATCCTGGCACACAGTGCTCCTGGGGGCAGCCGCCCACCTGGTCTAGGGCAATGCCAGCCAAGGGACAGATGTTAAGCCTGGATGGCCCACGCCAGTCCCTTCCAGGACACCCTGCTCCCCTCCGTGGGTCCCAGTTCTGGCTGCACACAGGCAGGGTCCTACCAGTCACACAACGTCCTTGGTGACCCAGGCAGAGCCCTGAGGGGCATGGTCTCAGGGGATGTGGCCTCCACTGGAGAGGCCGGGCTCTGAAGGTGGGGCCTCCATGGGGTGAAGGCTGTGGGGAGAGCTCCTGGAGGCGGGCCTGGGGGACAAGGCCTGCCAGGGGACAGGCTAGGCCTCCTTACCTGCTCGCCTGGTCCACAGAAGGGCGCCTTGGGACCCGTGGGGAAGGCCGGCCTAAACTTGTACATGGCAGGCGTCGGAGGGCTGGTCCTCTGCACCGACAGGGCACTCTCTGGGGATGCAGACCACTGTTAGACTGAGGTCAGATGGGGGTAAACCCACGTCCCTCCCTAGGTGTGGCTGCCCCGACCTCACCAGCACTGCCTGGGCGCGGGGTCTGCAGGTCACTGCTGAACGTGCCAGCCTCTATCTTGGGGGGCAGTGGCGGCCCCAAGTCCAGCGGCTTCTCATCCAGCCGGTCCAGGCTGCCCTTGGACTGGGAGGGGGCGGGGTCAGTGGTGTGTGGGGCTTGGATGAGGGGCAGGGCTTCACTAGGGATTTAGCCTGGGACCTGGTCCCCTCCCCAGAATCCGTCTACAGCTCCACCTGCCCCATCCACCTCTTGTAGCCCCACCAACCTGCCTGTTTCCCCATCCACGGGCCTGACTGCCAGCCCATCCCCAAGCCCAGGCCCCCACCTTGCTACGGCCCAGGCCAGCCTTCAGCCCGTTGTCACTAAGCTTGACCTTGAGCGGTGCAGCTCGGTCCAGGAGTTCAGGTCTAAGGAAAGGCGGCTTCAAACTCACCGCGAGCGGCAGCCGGGGTGGCTCCACCACGTACCTGCACCAGGGCACAGGGGTCAGTAGCCAGCCCACCTGCCACAAACACACAAGGGCAGGGCTGGCCACACCTAGCAAGAGCCAAAACGGACCAAGCTGAGGGTCTAAGGCTGCCCGCCCCACACCCGGCAGAGGGCCCCCACCACCCTGCCCAGCCCGGGCCTCACCGGGGCGCCAGGGGGCTGCACAGCACGTGCTCCACATTCCCACAGCAGCCTCGGGTGAAAGGGTTCACACCCCCGCGGAACTTCCCAGTCACCTGTGGATGCAGGACCCTCAGCCAGCCTGGCCTCCCAAGGTCCAGGCCAGGGTGGGCAGGGGGCTGGGCAGGGGAGCTAGGGTTCCTTAGAAGCTGGTACTCATGGGAAGTGGCGTGGGCAGGGTAGCCCAGGGTTGCCCCTCACATAGGTTACCCAGTCTGTCCTTGCAGGGAGCTGTGGGATTTTCTGGGTCACTGGTGGCTACACTGTCCACAAGTAGGATGTGCACAGGGGATGGGGCAGGCGTGGCCCCACATGGGGGTCTCAGAGTTGGAGCCACGTCTCAACACAGCTGCACAAGCTACCTCAGACAAGGATGCCCCTGTCCCCATGCAGCCCCAACTCTCTCTGCCCTTTGGGGCTGCCCATCCCCCATGGGGTCTGCACCTGCTCGTTGGTGGTGCGCCCCCGAGTGACCAGCACCACATGGAAGCCAGTGAGGCCAATGACAGGGATGAAGAAGAGGCCAGCCACACACATGACAGCCATGCTAGCCCGTTAAGGCCAACGGTGCAGGCCAGGACACCACAGACCCCATCGCAGCAGCACGGAGCAGGTGCCTGTGGACAAACCCCCTCCCAACCTAGGGACGGCCACCTGCCCGCTGGGGATCCCTGGGCAGCAACCAAGCCTTCTGAGGCTCCATCTCCCCAGTGAACGTGTCCCCGGTCCACATCGCCTCTGCAACGAGGCCCACAGGAACCAAGGATACGTGATGGTGGTGTGTGCGGCTCCCAGCCCCTCAGCGTGGTTCAGCACGTAGACCAGGCCGAAGGCCACGACGCCCACCATGTGTGCGCTGAGTGACAGCAGGAACAGGAAGAAGTAGCGATAGTTTCGACGCCCGATGCAATTGTTGACCCAGGGGCAGTGGTGGTCAAAGTCCTGGGCGGGAGCAGCGCGTCAGGGCACGTGGCAGGCAGGGATGTGGCACAGGGCTGGGGGAGCGCAGGGCAGCAGGGCGGTCACCTCTACACAGTTGTCACAGACGCTGCAGTGGGAGCAGCGCGGCGGGCGGTAGAAGTGGCACGTGGCGCACCACTTCATGCGGACCTGGATACCTCGCACATCCACGTTCTTGTACAGTGGGGCCCGGAAGTCGTCCTCCTTGTCCTCATCCTCATCCGCTGCAGACCAGGAGCCAGGCAGGGAGCACCAAGTTGACTTTCCTGGCAGGTGAATCCCTCCCCCAAGTCCAGCCCATCCACCAGGAACCCCTGAGGCTGTCTCGAGTTAGCCGCTCACACTCTAGTGAAAGTGAGATGAGCCGCCCAGCACAGGGCCCTACCTCGGGGGAAAACACCAGGGTCCATGAAGGTGGCCATGCTGAAGTTGGCGAGGACAAAGAGGAAGATGATGCCATTGTAGACGGGAACAGCTGGGGACACAGCTCGTGTCAACCATGGGCACCTGCAGTAGACAGTGGGGGCAGAGAGTGGAGTCTGGGGGTGCAGAGGGGATGCAGGGGCAGAGCTATGTGGTGCAGCAGACTGGGCCTGCAAGGTCACCCTCAGAGCTCAAAGGCAGTGGGGAGGCTGCCACAGCCCTGCCAAGAAACCTCAGCCACAGCGCTCCTTCGAGTAACCGCCAGAGGCTGTGCGTATCAGTACAGCATGTGGGCTACCCGTGCCCTGACCTGGCAACCCCTCAGGGCAGCCATCTCAGACAGGCCCACAGGCCTAAGGTCACACCATTCCAGCGATGTCCCTGGGCTCCACTACCGGGGTGGGGCACCGGGGGCTGGGGGGGACAGTGCACAGGCTGGAGGTGGGAGCCCCAGATGGAAAATGCGCCCACGACGCCTCATCCAGGCCCATCCCTGGCACAGTGGGACCTCTCACCAGGGAGACTCTGGGGTGTGGGGAGCCTCAATCCTTGGTCAGTAAATGCATGGGATGCCCCGACTCTTCCCAGACAGGCACAGCCCCATCCAGACAGCCCCTTCTTTTGAGTTTGTCACCTCCCTCCCCAGATGACAAAGTAGAACACTTAGGGACTCTAGAAATGCACAATGTCCCCCACCACTTCCCATCTTCCCAGCCCTCAGCACTTGGCTCCAAGGCCACCCCCTCTTCCGGGAAGCTTTCCAGGACTCCAGGCTGCCCTCCGCAGCTTCCCTGTAAGGTGTGTCCTCACACATCTTCCTGAAAGGTGCCTTCCTCAGCCCTCAAGGGGCCTGGCCTGAGTCCCCTCTGAGGAGACTTGCCAGTCCTCGGGCCACACGGCCTGCAGCAGATTCCTAAATCCACCCACTCAGCTTCCGAGAAGCCCCTCTGGCCTCAGGCTCCTCGTCTCTCCCCTGCACATCCTGAGACAGCTGCTGTGACAAGCAGCAGGGACAGGAACACAGGATTCTGCGTCCCTCCCTGTACCCAGGCCCTCTGCATAGTTGGGGGACTAGTGGGGATCCCCCACAGCAGCCCTGACCTCCGTGGCCACTAGCAGTGGACGGGGCCCACGCGCTGCTTACCACCCCAGCGCACGTGGCCACGCTGCTGCACCCACACCCGCCTGGCCAGCAGCCAGCCCCGCCGCCCCGGCAACCACCTCCACGGCAGCAGAGCTTCACTATTTTTAGTGGAAAGCAAGAGGCTATTTAAAGACTCTGCTTCCCACGACAGCCATCCTCGGCAGGGCCGGGAGCCCAAGTTACCCTTCCTCTTGTCCAGGGCCCAGCCCATGGCGTAGACCCCAGGGTGAGGACACAGCTGCGGCCACAGCTCCCTCTGCTGGGAGGGCTCTCCCTGTCCCTGCCCAGTGGCCCAGCCCCCAGGCTTCCTTCCACCCTCCCCAGCCCTGCCTGGCACACAGGCAGCACTCAAACGTGCCTGGCCTCCAATGCAACGCCATTCAGCAAGGACCACAGGTCCCTAAGGCATGGTCAGCCCAGCAAGGTGGGCACAGGCAGGTGAGCGGCCCTCCAGGGAGAGGCAGGGCCTGTGCTCCCCACAAGCCTTCTGGGGAAGGCTGGCTACGTAATCTGTGCAAAATGAAACTGTGGGCCCCTTATTTTAAAATTACAGAAAATTTTAAGATGTTGACAGCAGAGCATTAAATCAAACACAGGCTCTCATGGCGCCTGTGGGGCCGGCCTGCTCTGGGAAGGGATGGGGCAAGTGCCATTGGTCAACCCTTGGGCTGCGAGGAGGGAGGCAGCCTCTATCCTCCCAATGCTGACCTGAGGATGGAAGCCTCGGGGCCCCTCTGCACCTGCGCTGGCTGCCAGCCTGCCTCCTGGCCCTAACTGGGGCCTCGGGAGTGCGTTTGCCCATCAGGCAGGTGGGGCCTGAACCCCATGCTGACTTGAGCTCCCTGACAGCCCAAGCAGGCGGTACTGCTGTGTCCTCCCTGAGCCTGGACTCTCCCACGCCAGGCGGGCCAGACAGCAGCCTCACAGCCACGAGGCTACTCTGGGAAGTCTGCAGTGTGACCGGGTCCCCCCGCCCAGTGTGGGTACCACCAGCCCACATGCCTGTGAGGGCCCTTATGGGCACTAAGCCAGGGGTTGGGGAGGCTTGTCGTGGGACCTGAGCTGCTGCCCACCTCTCCAGTCCTTCAGGGTGAGGCAACTGTCCTCTCTGTAATCCCCAAGGTGGGATCCTGCCTAACAGGGACCAGCTCACGGGCCAACCTACCAGGGCCCAGAGCTCTCAGGGCTCAGTGGGGAAGATGAGGAGCACGTGCAGGCACGTACAGACACATGTGTGAAGATATGGACATACGCACAAACATGCTCCAGGGCACATGTGCATGGGGCGTGTGCACACACACAAATATACAGGCATGTACACACATAAACACACAGACAACCTGCTCTGGTGCACAGAAGGCACACACGCATACATGAATCATATCTGCATGCAAGACACATACATGCATGAACACTTGCATGCAGACATGCACATGTGCACACGCTGGCGCATATGCAAGAATGCAGACATGCCTGCACATCACTCACCCAAGACCGATGTGTGTGCACACGTGAACACAGGCGTGCACAGACACACGCCTCCTCACACCGCATCCAGCCCTATCCAGCCTCGGCTCAGTTGCCCCTCACTCTGGCCTCACACATGGCCCTCCCACTCTCTGGGCTTCTTTTTGCTCCTCTGCGGATAGGGCAAGTGTGGGGACACACAAGCACTCTCAGGGATGTGTAAGAACACGGGAGGACACAGGAGGACATGCAAGGATGCATGAGGACACATGGAGACAGGGGAGGCCATGTGTGGATGCTCAGGGACACTCGAAGACACATATTCCCTATGGGCAGGGCCCAGCAGCCAGTAGTCTGGGTCCTGGCTCGGGGAGGCTCCACTCCCACCCAGACCTGATGGTGCACACCAGGCTTGCCTGCCGGAGGGCCAGGCAGAGACAGGCTCTGGGCCTGGGCTGGGGGTGGAGTGTCTGGCCCGCCATGTCCCTATGAGCCCCTCCTGGCTGGCTCCAGCCAAGCAATGGGCGGAGGGCAGGTCCGGGGGGCCCAGCCCCGAAGTTCCAATCCCTCATCCAGGGCCACAGGCTGGGACATGCACCACCACCATAGGCCCCACCCGGGCTGAGGCCCCAAGTCCCGCCTGGGCTGGCAGGGAGACACCGCCCAGCAAGGGGGGGTGGCTTAGGGGCAGAATGTCCGCCACAGCTAAATGTGGAATGGAAAATTTTAACTCAGACGTTTTCATTTAAATCAGGTTCTTCATTAGCACTGTTTGTGTATGAGTGGCACTCGCCCGTGAGGCGCCCGGGACCGGCGGGACAAAAGCCGCTGTGCCCTTGTCAGGCTGGGCCTTTGGACCTCAAAGTACCTGTACCTACCTGTCCAATCCCTACAGACACCTGGACAGATGGGGAAACTGAGGCTCAGGGGCCAGGAATACCCCAGGCCACATTCGGTAGATTCCAGCAGGGGGGCTCACACTGAGTTTTCACCCCCAGGCTCCCCAGACTCATGAGGTCCCAGTCAGCAGTTCAGTCCCTCTTGGCCCCCCAAGGCTAGTCTGGCCCAGGGCCTGTTCTGACTGCTGTCCTGAGCTGGGCCTCCAGGCAAGGAGAGGGCTCAGGACGATCTAGGGACCAGCCACACCATCCCAGATGCCCCAGAGAGAGATAAGCCAGCCTGCCAGGCAGCCCCAGACCTTGGACATTCACAGGGTCCCTGTCATTCTGCAATGTGGCTCTGGAGTGAAGTCAGGGCAGGGTCGGGAGCCTGGCCTAAGAGTCTTCGAACCCTCTGCCAGCAGCTGACCCAGCCTAGCATTATGCCACGGTGTGAAGGGCTTCTGCAGCCCAGCGGGACACAAAACACCCAGAAACATCGGAAGGGGCTGGGAGCAGTGATCACACCTGTAGTCCCAGCACTTTGGGAGGCTAAGGCTGGCAGATCACCTGAGCTCAGGAGAACAGCCTGGGCAACATAGCGAGACCCCATCTCTATTTTAAAAACCACAAAAAATAAATAAATTAGCCGAGTGTGAGGGTGCCCACCTGTCATCCCAGCTACTCAGGAGGCTGGGGTGGGAGGATCACTTGAGCCCAGGAGGTCGAGACTGCAGTGAGCTGAGGTAGCACCACTGTACTCCAGCCTGGGCAACAGAGTGAGACCCTGTCTCAAACAAACAAACAACAACAAAATCCTGGGAAGGTTTCCTGAAGGAATAGGGCCTCTGACAAGCTGCCCTGCTGTATGTGCCCCATCCTGAGAGGGTACCCCTCACAACCCGGCATGCTTCCATGCCCAGACCCTCCTAGAGAGATGTGTGAATGTCCCGCTGGTCCCAAGACCCTTGGCGACCTGGCTGACGGAGGGGTCCCTGGTTCTCAGGCCTCCAGCTCCCCACACCACATGACACCCAGAACTCCTGCCTACCTGGCGCATGGGTGAAGCCGCCCCACTGGCAGCAACTCATGTTTACTGAGTGCAGAGACGGGGCTGGGGCCACTCATTGTCTGGTAACGTCCGAGGAGCAAACAGTGAAGTTGGGAACCCTGTATAGGCCCTGAGGGCAGGGATAGGGGGCACAGGAGCAACCTGCTCTCCTTCCTGTGTACCTGGACCAGATACAGGGCAGGAGGTTGGGCAACGGGTGGACAAGTGGCCGGCCTCAAGAAGGGGGCTGCCTGGACCCCTGCCTACTCAGAATCAGCACAGCTGCCATGAGTGTCATCAATGGGCCAGCCGACCCAACAGAACCCCTTCTCAGGAACTGAGCAGTCTTGGAGGAGCTCAGCAGAGTTGGGGCGGGTCGGGGAAGAGGCCAGGATCACTGACGGCCATTCAGCCCAGGGGTGTGGCCTCAGGGCAGCCCTGTCCTGAGGGGGCAAGCGGGGCTTCTTAGCCTTGTTAGGTGGCCACTGCACATCAAACCCAGGTGAGCACCCGGGCCACCATCCTTCTACAGGGACACATGGCACCTTCTCCCATGTGCAGGGCCGTCAGAGGTCAGCACAGGCCAGGCGTAGGGTTGGGTGCAGGCATGGCCCGCACTGCCCCAAGAAGGAACCCCATATCTCAAGACTGCTGGTGTCGCTGAAACAGAACCCCAGAACAGAGGAGGAGAAACTGGTGCTCAGCAGAGTGGGAGCCACCCAAGCACTCCATGCCTGGGGCTGGGTCAGGTTCACAGGCAGAGTCACAGAAAGGGCCCTCTGACATCACACGAGAGGGAACCAGTAGCCGCAGCCACCACAGCCGGCTGCAGATGCGGTGCCAGGAACAGAGGAGCCGTCCAAGGAGGATGGGATTTGGGGGGTGTGCAGGGTTGATTTTAATTTCTTAGCATATTTGTTTTCTGTATTTCACAAGTTCCCCAAAAAGAACATACATTACTTTTTTTTTTTTTTTTTTTTTTTTTTTCAAGACAGAGTCTTGCTCTGTCACCCAGACTGGAGTGCAGTGGTGCGATCTTGGCTCACTGCAACCTCCGCCTCCCGGGTTCAAGCGATTTTTCTGCCTCAGCCTCCTGTGTAGCTGGGATTACAGGCGCCCGCCACCACACCTGGCTAGTTTTTGTACTTTTAGTAGAGATGGGGTTTCACCATGTTGGCCAGGCTGGTCTCAAACTCCTGACCTCAGGTGATCTGCCCGCCTCGGCCTCCCAAAGTGCTGGGATTACAGGCGTGAGCCGCTGTGCCCGGCCCACACATTACTTTTAAAGTCACAAGAAAGGACACTGAATTGCATGGAAGGAGTAAGGAACCAAGCCAGACCCCCACACTGACAGAGGCCCTGGGGACCAGCACTGGGCTGGGCCCACCCCTCCAGAAGCCTTGGTGGGATGTGTTTGCCCAGGCCAGGCTCCCCAGGCTGCCCACCACCCACCTCTCTCTGCCCCACACCAGCACTGAGTGACAAGAACACACTGGCTTGCCCGAGCCAGAAATAAGCCCGTCCACACAGGCCTTTTTTAAACATGCTCTTGGCAGCCTGCGGTGCCCACCCAGCCCCAGCCTGCAGGTAACTCTCTCGCCTCCACGGGCACCCGATTCAGCTTTGCCATGCATGCGGCGACTCCCCAAATTCTTGCAAAGGTGACGAGTGTCAGGCAGCCCCTACCTGCCCCTCTCCAGGCTCACATGCTCAGGGGTGGCCCCACCTTGGAATAGGTCGCCATCGTTCATGTCACCTGGGCTATGTCTCAACCCCAGATTGGTGGAAGGGGGGTGGGTGGTTGAAGATCTGTGCAACCGAAGCCTGGAGCCCCCAACCCTCTTTGTGCCTGAAGAAGCCCTGTGGTGACCCCACAGCCACAGAGAGAGGCTGTGCTGTCCACATGCCTCTCTGGTCCTAAGCCAGCCTGTATCTTGGGTGAAGAAGTTGAGGCTGGAGGGGCCCAGTGTCCGGCAGGCGCGGGCTCTCACTCCCAGAAACAGGACCTCAAGGGTCCTGGTGTGCACCATGGCTAACCACAGAGGTGCTGTGCTAACATCGAGCCCTGGGTGTGGCCTGACCTGGGTCCTCCAACTGTGATGACCACTGGGTCTTCCTGAGAGGGAGGCCAAGGGCCAGGCCCGGGTCACCAGTGGCTGTGGGGCAGGCATGTGGCAACCAGGCCAGGCCACACCTACGTGGGGACAACTTGACTCTGGCCTGGGGCGGGCAGCCAGGAGGAGACCCGAGAGGCACCCACAGCCACCTGCAGAGAGGGCTCATGGCTCTGGGTGGCCCACGTCCCCTCGGGAGCCCCATGGGGAGGGAAGGGCTGCAGCCACACCCAGAGCAGCCCGGCCTCCTCCCCTGCCCGGGCCCAGCGCTCCCGGACAGGGCCTGCCTGGACACTCCCGAGGTGCCCAGCCCGCACTGGTGTCCCCACACAACGGACTCACCCCGGTGCCCGGGATGCCCGCACACGGCTTCAGCTCCCCCGGTCCCGGCGGGGGGAGAGGGACTGCCGTCGCCTGCAGCCGGCGCCCCGCCCGCCCACTGTCCCGGGCCCCGCCAGCCCCCGCGACCGCCGCCCCCGTGCCCGGGCTGTGCGGGCCCTGCCCATCGCTGCCCCGGTGCTCCCAGACGCGGCGCCGACTCACGTGAACACGAAGAAGAGGGTGCTGGAGCCGACCAGCAGCGCGGCGGCCGTGGCCACCGGGATGTACTTGGCGGGTTTGAGGCGCGTCCCGGGGCTGCGGGGCATCCTGGGCGCCGCGCCGCCGCATCCCTCCCCGGGGCCGGGCGGGCGGGGCCGGCCGGGGTCGGGCCGGGGTCGGGCGGGCGGGCTGGACGCGGCGCAGGACCCGCGGCGGCGGCGGCGGCGGCGGAGGAAATCCCACCCCACGGGCGGCGGCGGCGGCGGCGGCGCGCTGATGTCAGCGCGCCCCTTAAGGTGGACCGGGCGCCGGGGGCCGCGGCGAGGAGGGACGGGGCGGGGCGAGTCGACGGGTCCCGGGGGCCGCCCACCGGTTCGCGGGACCCTCGGAGGGGGCGGGGCCTCGCGGCCTCGGGAACCCCAACTCGGCGAGCGCCCGCGGCTCTCGGGGGCCGGGCACCCACGCACCCCTGCGGCCCGGCCGGCCGGTGGTCACCACGGCGAACGCCAGGGCTCCCTGGTTCCGGGCCGCGGAGGCGTGCAGGTGGCCTCTCCCTGTGGGCGCAGCCCTCTCCCTAACGACCCCTCTGGTCTGGAGCCCCCTGGCATTCACGAGGGGGCGCGGGTGTAACACCGCAGCGGCGTCGTGGCTGTTTTGCCTCCTGACCGCCTCGCAGCCCTCCCTCGGGCGACTGGGCTGGAGGAGCCCGGCCAGCGGGCGCCAGGCCCTCCGCGTCCTGGCCCGAACTGCAGGCTTGAAAGAGGGTAGGCTGAAGACCCCATCCTCCCCGAGGCGGGCCCCTTGGGAAGCCCGGCGCCCCGGCCCTGCCCGATAGGCCCTGAGCGTCTCCTCCCGCAGGAAATCCCACCCGCCCCTCCGCCGCTTAAGGTGGACCGAACCGGGGCCTTCGGCGCTGTGGGCGGGGCCTCGTGTGGGTTCCTCCTGGCAGAGCAGGTGGCGCCAGCGGGAGACCCTCAGTCAAGCTCTGGAGCCTCCCCAGTGAGGGTCATTGTCCTCGGCGACGCCAACATGCCCCAAGCACCCCCAGTTCTGAAACCCAGACCCATTAGACTCCTCCCTAGGTGGAGATCTGTGGGGGGGACCTCACCCATCACCCCCAGCCCTGAGTGTCTGCTCCCCTACCACCAGAACCCCATGCGGCCCTACCATGCTGTGCAGGCATGAGGCTCCCTGGCCTGGAGGCCCCTGCTCGCCTGGGGAAGCACCCGGCCCCAGCTCCTCAGGGTGGGCAGGCCAGGGTTGTGGCTGTTGAAATGGTGATGGGCTTTCTCCCAGGCAGCTCTAGTGGTAAGCACTGCTCTCAGGGTGCCCTGCTCCAGGAGGTGCTCGCAAGCACTAAGGCAGTGGAGGGGTCTCAGGGCACAATGGTGAGCCTAGAGCAGACACCACTGGAGCAGATGCCTCCTTACCTGGGCTCTGCAGTGGCCACGAGTGAGCCTCTTGGTTGGCAACACACCTGCCACCTGGCGCCCATCTTTAGCCTCCCCCTTGCTCCCACCTTCCCCAAGGAAGTGCCTCCTCTAATGGCACACACCACAGAACCCCTCAGGGTCCAGGTCTGACTCCAAGTCCATGCTTTGTGCAGGGTGCCAGGACAGTCACCTTCCTCCACCAGCTGAACCCTGGAGTAAACTACCAAATGCTGACTGTGGGAAGAAGCAGAATCAGGCCTACTTGGTGAGATGCCTTTTCCCTTGAGTTTTTTTTTTTTTTTTTTTTTTTTTTGAGACGGAGTCTCGCTCTGTCGCCCAGGCTGGAGTGCAGTGGCCGGATCTCAGCTCACTGCAAGCTCCGCCTCCCGGGTTCACGCCATTCTCCTGCCTCAGCCTCCCGAGTAGCTGGGACTACAGGCGCCCGCCACCTCGCCCGGCTAGTTTTTTGTATTTTTTTAGTAGAGACGGGGTTTCACCGGGTTAGCCAGGATGGTCTCGATCTCCTGACCTCGTGATCTGCCCGTCTCGGCCTCCCAAAGTGCTGGGATTACAGGCTTGAGCCACCGCGCCCGGCCTTCCCTTGAGTTTTTAACACAGGGTTTCACTCTGCCACCCAGGCTGGAGTGCAGTGGTGCAATCATGGCTCACTGAAGCCTCAACCTTCAGGGTTCAAATGATCCTCCCACCTCCCACCTCAGCTTCCCAAGTAGCTGAGACCACAGACGCGCACCACCACGCCAGAATATTTTTTAAATTTTTTTGTAGAGATAGGGTCTTTCACTATGTTGCCCAATCTGGTCTTGAACTCCTGGCCTGAAGTGATCCTCCCATTTTTGCCTCCCAAAGTGCTGAGGTTACTGGTGTCAACCATTGCATCTGGCCTTGGGATCCCTTTTCCTTAACAGAGGCCTGGGCAGAGGGATCCCCAGTAGTACAGACCCACTACTGGAGACAGAGAACTGAGTGAGGTCAGCACCGGCCTCCCCCACCAACATGGCTGCCGAGCCCATGGCCTAGTTTCCTCCCCAAGAAGAGCTAAGATCCCAGGGAAGAGGAAAATGAAGCAGAAAGCAGGAGGCTCCCCAGCCTGCAGCCTGGCGGACAGACCTGGGATGGAAGGCTGAACCACACTGCATTTCTCACACAGTCCCTAGCACCGGCAGGACCCCATTCCGCTCACCATTGTCTGCCAAAGGGGACCCACTGGAAACACACTGGGCTGGACAGCTGGCGCAAGTGCCCACATGGGTGTCCTTGTAGAGCCTACCCTGTGTTCCCGTGGGGCCAGCACAGCTCCCTTCCTGCAGCACATCACATCCTGCAGTGTCAACAAGCTGCATCCTCAAATGCGCCCTGCAACACAGCCCCACCACAGGATGGCACTGTATCCCAGCCATTCCGAGGGGCCTTCCCACTGCTGAGGACTCTCCTTGGAGACATTTCTGCCATCCCCAGATGAAGGAAGTCAGCCTGGAATTTTACTAGAACCCCAAATCAAATACAGAATGCTAAACATCCTTTCTCTGCTGGGGGCGTGGGGTGCCTGTCCTAGCCAAGGGCTTCCCTCCTGGAAGCTCTAGCCAGTGCATGGGGCCCTCCCTTTCACAGACATCAAAGCCTCCAATTGACACCTGTACCCAGCCTGTGGCCCCAAGGGTGACACGGCACAGCAAGGCACTGTCTGCAGTGGACAGCGTCACCCTCCCAACACGAGGACCTCACTCGGCACGGGGCACAGGCTTCACCTCTTCTTGGGTGCAAAGTGCACCACTGTCCCCCTGCCAACCTGCTAAAAAGCCGTCCACGAGCATGAGGGCCACAGCTCACAGAACACAGGCAAGATGCCAATGAGGAGTCTTCAGTTGGGCTGTTTAAAACCAGGAGCAAAGACCATACTTTCAGGGATCATTTCCATAGTTCATTACCAAAGAACTTTCTCTGAACATGTAGGGCACTGGAAACCACGAGGAGTCAGCACAACCTTCTTTCCTGAGCTGGCCTTTCCCTCTGCAGGGGCCACTCTGCCACAGGGGCCAACCAAAGTCAGCCTTGGCTGATGCTAGAGACCATAAAGTGGTTCCCATTTATGTAAAAATAAACAAACCTGAGTAGTTGCCTTTGGAAGTACATCCCCCAGAGCGGTGGTCCCCAACCGTTTTGGCACCAGGGATCAGTTTGGTGCACAATTTTTCCATGGACCAGGGGTAGGGGAGTGGTTTCAGGATGAAACTGTCCACCTTAGATCATCAGGCATTAGGTTCTCATAAGGAGTGCACAACCCAGATTCCTCACATGCACAGTTCACAATAGGGTTCGCACTCCTATGGGAATCTAATGCCCTGCTTATCTGAGAGGAGGAGCTCAGGTGGTAAAGCTCCCTCGCCCACCACTTAGCTCCTGCTGTGTGGCCCAGTTCTTAACAGGCCACAGACTTGTACGGGTCAGTAGGCCAGGGGCTGGGGACCCCAGCCCCAGAGGGACAAAGGACTGGTGTTTAAACCAGCAGGCAGTCACCAGACAGGACACAGCACATGGAGGCCAGAGAGAACTGGGCCCAGGCCCAGGTGGAGGGCACAAAAGAGCAAGTGATGGCAGCAGGCAGCCAGCCTCATGGTGAAGCACGTCTGGTTCATGATAAACGGTGACAGGGCATGTTATGGCAGTTGAGACCACACACTTAAGATGGTGTTTGCAGAGACAATCCATTACAAGTGACAACCCCCAATGGCACACTGGAAAACATCTCCTTCTTTAAAGTTACTGCAGATGCCCATAACTCCAACACTGCCAAGTGTGGACTTCAAGTTCAGGAGGCCAAGACCCCAGAAGTTTTCTCCAAGGTCAAGGTATGACAGGCTTTTCAACAGAAGGGCTACAGGGCTGAGCCCCACCCAGCACACCGGACTGGCCTTTCCCTCCACAGGGGCCACTCTACCACAGGGGCCAGTCAGCCTTGGCTGATGCCAGAGACCCACTCAATTGGCTACTGCCTCCTGCTCCAAAGCCAAGGTACTCTGGTGGTCTTCCTTTCCTCAAAGCAGTGGCTGTTCAGGCCATAAGGCGCAGTGGAGCCTGCCTCGGCAGAGCCCACGCTGCCCAGCCCACGGCCGTGCATCAATACCACACTTTAGCACCAGACACCCCTGGCCAGGCTCCCTCACCAGCACCAGCTCAGACACCTCAGCTTCAAGACCCACAGCAAAACACACACACGACCTCAGACACCAGGGTGTCTCCCGGGAACCCAGGCTATAGTGAGGTGCAGCACCCACCTGCGCTGCAGACAGGCCTGGACATACACCTGGGGGGCTTTTACGCAAGCAGTGCTCACAGCACAGGGGCCCGTACACACACAGTCCTGCCATCTGGTCCAGGTTCCAAATGTGTTTTTTATTCACTATTTTTGATGACTATAAATAAGTGTTTCCACTATGGAAAAGAAAGTTAGCACAGTACATTTTCATGACTGGGGAATGGATTTTCTGAAGTCATCTTCAATAGGGCAAAAACTTAGAAACAAAAAAAAACAACCTGAATGTTGAATTCAGTTCTTTATATAACGTCCCTTGTAAAAATGAAAGAATAAAAACAAACCAAAAAAGAGGGGCAGGGTAAAATTTTTTAAAAAAAGGAAAGGAAAGAGAGGAAAAGGAAATAAAATAAGACGATTTATTGCTTCTCCTCAGCATCCTCCTTGGTCTCCTCCTTCACCGAGAGAGCTTCTAGCTTTTCCGCCACTTTTTCGGCATGATCGTTTTTGCCTGATCCTGCTAAAACACAAGCAGTACAGTGAGAAAACAGAAGCACAGTGCATTCAAGCACATGGCCCTCACCAGGACGGTCCCAAGCGCCGTCACCCACCCACAGCGGCTTGCCCGCCCTCAGGACAGACTCCTGCCTGGCCAAGCCACCCCTGGAGTCTGTCTTCTTGAAATTCAATGACCAAAGGAAGCCAAGTGGATGCATTCAAGCACTGCCTAGACCATGGTCAGGCTGTTCAGTGACATCTGGTCACTTGCCACCACAGCTGCAGTCCAGCCTCACGGCAGAGGTGACCAAGCCCTCTGAGAGACAAACCGAGGGCCATCATAAAGCACCTTCTGGTGAGCTCCAGGCAATGCCTGGACTCCAATGCCTGCCCAGTTGGATGTGAGGCCAGCAACACTGACAAGTGCTCAGGGCTCCCCAGGAAGCACCTGTGTCCCCAGGGAGCTGCATCGCCCTGGATAGGTGAGGCAGCCACAGCACTCTGGAATGTTTATCTGGCAGACAGAAAAAGCACCTGCCTGGAAGTACAGTCAGGTGCAGAGTGAGTCTGCAAAGAAGCACCCCCACCCATGGCACCACGTCACCTTTCTTTTCTCTCTCTTCGATCTCTTTCCTGCATTCTTCAAACTTTGTTTTGAATTTCTGTGCATCTGTGAAAGAGAGATTGCCTAAGAGCTGTGAGCAGTGGAAGGGACATGCTCTGCCGGGTCTGAAGAGTTGGGATTCACAGAAGACCCGTTTCATGGTAATTTCTGACCTAAGAAAGGACTGGACCACCTGACATCGGCCTTGGCCTTTTGTCTCCATCATCTAACTGTAACCATTTGGGCAGAGCGGTAGAGAGCACGGACCCTTGGGCAACCAAGGGGCATGGGCCTCTTTGCCACAGTCTTGGCTCCCAACCGTGTTGGAAGGGCTGCTGGGGCAGCCACTCCCAGAGCAAGGACAAGGTCACTCGGCACCAGACGGTCAGCTACCAGGCGCCAGGCCACGGTACCCACTGACTACTCTAGGAGCCACTGGACGCAGCTTGGACGATCTGGACTGTAAAGACCTCTCAGCAGGGGAGAGATCAGCCTGGGCCTATGGATCTCTCCACAGGAGAGATGCCAGCCCCTGCTGGCACCCAGGCAACCATGAGGGGCCCCTGGCCCCAGTAAGCCAAAGCCTGGCACAAGGATCAGCACTGGGAGGAAGCCCTGGGTTGGGCCTCAGGCTCTGCAACAACTGATGGGAACCGGAGCTTGGAGAGCAAACCAAAGTGCCAGCCACAAGGCGGCTGAGGGGGCACTGCTGTTTAGCAGCTACTTGGCACAGCTTTGAGTTTTAGGCGGAAGGCGCTGCTCGTGGCTTCAGTCTGGGCATGGCCCCCAAACGGCGGGGCAAGGCAGCCCACACAACACACTTCCCAGTTACTGCCCCTCTCCCCAAAAGGCAACAGCATTTGTTGCACGTAAGCCGCCACACTGCCACGCAGGTGAGCCCTAAGTCGGGCAGGTCCCCAGGGCCCCCTGGCTCACTCTCAGCATTCAGGAAGCGGATGGCCAGCAGCTCTGGCTTGGGGCACTCGTCGGCGAAGTCAGCGTGGGTGTTCCAGACCCAGGCGCGGTCACTACCTGCATTGGGCTTCAGCTCCATCATCGGCGTGACTGAGGAGAGAGAAGCTCGTAAGGATGGTGGGATGACTGCAAAGGCCAGCCCACCCAGCCCTGGGCCACAGAGCACCCTGCTCACCAACCTGAGGGGTCTGCTTCAGACAACACGGGGATGGTCAGTCTGGGGTCGGAGAACCAGGCTTAGACAAAGTACCACAGGGCCTACCTCTTTGAAAATGCCCCATATTTACTTAAAACCAGGACCATCCTAACCAGGAATGGGCAGCCTGCTCCCTGACCGTAAAGCTATCTCTGCAAGGAGATCCTGAGCAGTGTTCAACACCACTTGGCACACAGAGAAGCAGAGCTGGCAAAGCAGGCCCCAGCTGTATCCCAGGGCTGCACTCAAGCCCAACCCTGATCATCCTGACCCTGTCCGTGAAGTCAGAAGCCCTGGGTCAGACATCAGGGCACAAGCCAGTGGGTCCAGACTCTCCTGAGGGAACCCAACACATGGAGCCAGCCTGTCTGAAAGTGGGGGCAGCAGAAGGCTAGAAAGTGGGGCAGTTGCCAGAAGGGAGCCCACTGGGAGCCACGGCCATGAATCCCCATGACTGATGCCTGGAGGACACAGGAGAGAGCCACGGCCTGCAATGGATGCCTCCACCCCAACTGCCCAGGCACAGGCAGCCCCAAGTGGACATGGCCCTGCAGGCGACCACTCTTCAGAACAGCTCCCTGAGAACCCGGACCATCCCAGGTGCCCAGGCCCAGCCCAGGCCACATGCACCCCCAGGATACCCCTACATGTCACCATCTGAACTGGGAGCTGGGGGGTCTCACCTACTGCAGCCCGCCACAGCGGATGCAGCCCCCTGCATGCCCCCTTCACACCCCACCCCTGAGCCAGCCCACAGCCTCCCCAACACCCTACCCAGAGGCCAGCCTCTACCCACTGCCACGTTCCGTCTACTAAGGGCCCATGATGGGCACAAGACACTACTGGCTACGCAGATGGCTCTGCCCAGATGCCTAGGGGCCCAGGACCAACTTATGATGCACACACAATAACCCACAACCTGACCAGGCTCTGGGAGCAGCACAGGGCATAAGGGAAGACCCCCCAAAGAAATTATTCATATTGGGCTCAAGGAGGAGGACCAGCCAGAGTACAAGCTTCCCCAGGACTAGATATGCTGGGCAGGGAGGGCGGGGAACCCAGGAGCCAGTTCCCAAGGAAGTCGGCAGGTCAGGCCGTGCAGTGAGGTACCATGGCACAGGCAGACCACCGTCTACCCCTCTGCAACGCCCTCAAGGGCTGAGCCACTCAGGCTCCTGCCAGCAGTCATCCTGCACCTGGGATGAGGGGCCCTGCCCCGCCGGACACACATCACACTCGGCAAATGACACTAGGGAGCTTACCAAGGGACACCCCAGGACAAGTGTACTTCCAACATGCCACCAAGCCGGGCAGCACAGGTTCAATCTAAGGACAGCTGGCAGCCAGACACACTTGGGACAACCTATTGTCACTTCTTTGCAGGCCAGGCTGGACCCTTCACAGGGTGGCTGGAGCTCTTGGCTGAACCTGCCCAAGGGCCTCTACTTATGTAGCTTCACAGGCGCCCAGGACCTGGTCACCTTCTCAACCCCGTCCCCTCCCGTTTCCTCCCCAGGGAAGATCCTGGTGAGGGTAGAACGCACCATAACTGGGGAGGCTGGCGCCTGGGCACCTCACACATCTACCCTCACACCCCCAAGAGGCTGCGCCTGGGCACCTCATGCGCGATCTACCTCACACCTCAATCTCACTGGTAAGAACACACACATGGCCACACTCCCCTAACACCTTACATACTCCTCAGATACTACACTCCACCAGACACCACACAACTCTAATACGACAACCCCCCGATACCCATTACAATTTCCCGCCCAGACACCACAAAACTTCTCAGATGCCTCTGCACACACTCATGGGATACCATACACCCTCCAGACAATTGCATACACACACACACACACACACACACACAAATCTATGGCCCACACCTTCAGACACCACACAAGTCCCCCAGACCACACATCTCTGCATACCAGTACACACCCCTGTATGCACACACACACCCCCAAACACTCCAACCACACACCCCTGCACACCCCCAACCAGATACACCTCAAACACCACAATTTCTAGACAACAAACACTGCCTCTAGATGCTCCTCACACACCTGCGGATACTTCACACACTTGCACTGCCACCCCAGACAATTCACAGCACATGCTTTAACACCACACCTTCAGACACCAAGCATAGCCCTCCCACACCATATACACACCCCAAACACCCAACCACACCCTGACACCACAGCACACCCACAAACACTACACCCAACCCACACCCCCAGACAACACACACCCCCAGACCCCCAACTATAAGGCACCCCAACACCACACCCAACCACACACCTCTAGACTCTGAACTACATGTTCCCAAACATCACACCTCCTGCCCCAGACAACGTACAAACTCCCAGACACCAAACACTGCCCCTCAGATGCCCCCACATACCCCCCCAGATATCACACACACACCTCCACACCACACTTTGCATGCCCCCAGACACCACATGCCAATGCTCTGCCGTCCCAGACACCATAAACCCCCCAGATGATCAAATACCGCCCCAGATGCCTCCTAGACAACCACACACACACCCAAGACACTACGAACTCTCCCAGACAGCAGATATAACATGCTGACACCACTTCAGACACCACAGTCCCCCGTGACACCACATGCTACACCCCCACAACAGCCACACCCCAAAACACTACACCCCCAAACACCACCTCAGTAGACAACATGCACCCCAGAACCCCAACTATACACCCCCAAACACCACACCCAACCACACCCCCAGACAACACACCCCCCAGATACCACATACACACCCCCAAACACCACACCCAACCACAGCCCCAGACACCAGACCCCCAACTACACACCCCAGACACCACCGCCAGTAGACACCAAAGCCCCCCAGATACCACACACGTACTCCCCATCACCCCCCAGACACCACACACACACACACACACACACACACACACAGCGCCCCCTTGCCCTGCAGCACTCACTCCTCGTCCCGAGCCCAGCCTGGGCGCCGCGTCCTCCCATCAGGGCCCGTCTGGCTGACTCCACACCCCCGTGTGCTCTAAGCTTCGCTGCGGGCCTGCTCTGAGTTCAGAGGCACGTCTGAAAAACGTATTTCTGGTTTTAAATTCAACAAACACACCACAAACTTGCACTCCATGTAATAACACGCTCCCCAGTTCCCAGTCAGCCCTGAAAGAATCTTCCCGAAGGTCCCAGGCTGAGCTGCTGAGGACTGTTGGGCCCAGCATGAACGCCCGCCCAAGGCCACCTACTGTAGTGGTTGGCACAGATCTTCAGGGTCTTGTCCCTCCGCATGAGAAGGCGGATGGCCCCTTTCTCCTTGTGCTTCAGGAGCTTGACGTCACCAGTGCCTCGCTCCTTCCATTCTGGGAGATCGTTCTCTGAGGCAAATCGGAACAGTTTTGCCCGCCTGCAAGAAAAGCCGTGAGGTTAGAGTGCAGACCTGCAGCCCACATGCAGGGCCTGCACGGGAGGACACAGGACAACTCTGCACTGCAGGACCCGATGCCTCCACGAACGCCCCAGCCCTTCTTCAGGCTCCAAGAACTGCCTGTCACGACACCACCAGAAAGTGCAGCAGCCCAACAAACTCCAGGTCATCTTGAATTCCAGTTCCACAACCAAAAGAATTAAGATGACCAAGCGAGGTGGCTCACTTGTAATCCCAACATTTTGGGAGGCCGGGGCAGGTGGGTCATCTAAGGTCAGGAGTTCAAAACTAGCCTGGCCAACATGGTGAAACCCTGTCTCTACTAAAAATACAAAAATCAGCTGGGCATGGTACCTGTAATCCCAGCTACTCAGGAGGCTGAGGCATGACAATCACTTGAGTCCAGGAAGCAGAGGGTGTGGTGAGCGGAGATCGCCCCACTGCACCTACAGTCACAATATTTCCCCCAGTGGAGACCAGCCCGGGCAAAACAGCAAGAAACTATCTCTACAAAAAGATAAAAAATTAGCTGGACATGATGGCTAACACCCGTAGTCTCAGCTACTCAAGAGGCAGAGGCAGGAGGATCCCTTGAGCCCAGGAGTTCAAGGCTGCAGTGAGCCATGATCCCACTGCTGCTCTCTAGCCTGGGTGAGAGAGAGACCCTATTTAAAAAAAAAAAATGTCGGGCACGGTGGCTCACGCCTGTAATCCCAGCACTTTGGGAGGCCGAAGTGGGGGGATCACCTGAGGTCAGGAGTTTGAAACCAGCCTGACCAACATGGAGAAACCCCATCTCTACCAAAAATACAAAATTAGCCAGGCACGGTGGGACATGCCAATAATCCCAGCTACTGAGGAGGCTGAGGCAGGAGAATCCCTTGAACTGGGAGGCCAAGGTTGCAGTGAGCTGAGATCGCACCATTGCACTCCAGTCTGGGCAACAAGAGCGAAACTCCATCTCAAAAAAACAAAAAAAGAAAAAAAAAAAAGAGGCCAGGCTCGGTGGCTCATGCCTGTAATCACCACTTTGGGAGGCCGAGGCAGGCCAATCATGAAGTCAGGAGATTGAGACCATCCTGACTAACTCGGTGAAACCCCATCTCTACTAAAAATACAAAAAATTAGCTGGGCGGGGTGGCGGGCACCTGTAGCCCCAAATATTCAGGAGGCTGAGGCAGGAGAATTGCTTGAATCTGGGAGGTGGAGGGTGCAGTGAGCTAAGATCATATCACCATACTCCAGCCTGGGCAACAGAGCAAGACTCCGTTTCAAAAAAAAAAAAAAAAAAAAGAGAGAAAAATGGCCCAATGTAGGGAAAGAAGCCCCCTGGGTGGGCTGGGCATCCCATGGTGACTGTGCAAGAGCACCCCAGCCCCAGAGATCTGCAGGGACAGCATGGATCAGGTGCGAGCCAAGGACCTCCGTCACGACACCACCAGAAAGCGCAGCAGCCCAACAAACTCCAGGTCATCTTGAATTCCAGTTCCAGAACCAAGAGAATTAGACGACCGGATGCGGTGGCTCAAGCCTGTAATCCCAGCATTTTGGGAGGCCGAGGCAGGCAGGTCACCTGAGGTCAGATGACCCACAGAAGAGGCCCAGGCCTCTAATCAGGCAACAGGTCCTGGCCAACACCCGGCCCTCCTGCCCAGGAACAGCCCCTCCCGCTGGGGACCAGGGCACCCAGAACCTAGCAATGCACTCAGGGCTCAGGCTGGCGCCCTCCTTCTGGGCACAGCTCCACCTGCCTCTCTCAGACGACTCCACTCTCTGCCCCAACATGATTCTGGCAAGAGGCTGTCTCACAAGGCTCCCCAACAGGACGCCCCTGAGGCTTTACCGCAAAGACCCAGGCCCACCCTGCTGGCCTCACCTCCCTCAGGGAGAGCCTGGGCCCAGGCCACCAGGAGCACCTCCCACCTGACGTGAGCAGTGAGAGGATAGAGGCAAGCACTTCACCCCAGCAAGGAGCTACTTCCAAACGGGCTGCAGCAATGCATCAGCATTGTGGAGACATGGCCACCTAGTGGCTTCAGGGAGATGTCCATCACCCTCTGTGACCAAAGGGTGACACACAGCTCTCCTTTCCCAGGTATCCCTCCTGGCCCCTTTCCTTGGAGAAGAAACTCACAGTAGGAATGACTCTCTCTGGTTCCCTCTCCCACCCCAGAGCAACCAAACCTTAACCTGTACTCTTAAAGCTACTTCAAGGGTGGGGGGTTCCATGAACTTGAACAGGGAAAAACTACAATCTCATTTCACTAAGGTGTGTAACTAAACATGATGTTTGTTGCAATCCTGAGTGTAGGCGACAGGCCAGTCTCTGCAGTGCTGTGACGCTATCACAAGACACAAGGCTGGTATCCACCACTGCAAATAGCTCTTAACTGAAAGTGTCAAGAAGCACACGTACAGAATCTTTTCAAGTGTTTTTGATAACTAAACCATCACCTATTTTCACGTGTAATCGCAAGTATTACGTTGTATATTAAGGGTGGGCCAGGCGAGGTGGCTCACGCCTGTAATCCCAGCACTTTGGGAGGCTGGGGCGGGCAGATCAAAAGGTCAGGAGATCGAGACCATCCTGGCTCACAAGATGAAACCCCGTCTCTAATAAAAATACAAAATATTAGCCGGGCGTAGAGTCCCAGCTACTTGGGAGGCCGAGGCAGGAGAATGGCGTGAACCCGGGAGGCGGAGCTTGCAGTGAGCTGAGACATGCCACTGCACTCCAGCCTGGGCGACAGAGCGAGACTCCATCTCAAACAACAACAACAACAACAACAACAAAAACACCGGGTGGGGGATTTATAAGCTTCACAATGCCAAAGAACTCTGCTGCAAAAAGTTACAATCCCCTGCTCAACCAAAGGGACTCCCTGGATCCTCAGAAGCCAGCGGCAAGAAACAGCAGTGGTGCCGCCATGTCAGTGAACAGAGCAGCAATAATGGGATGCCCTTCATGCAACTGGCTGCAGGGCAGCAAGGGCACCTGGTGAAGATTCATAAAAGCAATGGGTTAAATTTCCACATGGGATTAGTCACCAAGCAACTTTAGGCCCTTTCTTTAAAGAACCTCAGTCTGATTAAAAGTCAGGCCAAGACCTTAACACCCAAAAAAGCTGTAACTTCAACCTTAAAGGGTCCTATTTCTGGGACATCAGCTTACTTACATTTTAAAAAGTTCCTCTTCATCTTCTTCCAGCGTTTTAATTTCTTGCTCAGGAAGAGAAACTATTGGCTCAAACTGAGGGTCATGGTTGGATTCGTCTGTATTCTCAGTGGAAGTATCATGGTCCTCATGAGTGTCCTGAGGAAATACAAAGAGGTTACACTGCTGGCCTATGGATCTGGCTCAGAGCCAGAGCCCAACCAGTGCCTGCAGTGGTCAGCCCCCCGACAGTGAAGGGACTTCAGCTACAAGGATGGGCTCCACCCCAAAGCAAGAAATTAGGCCCTCTCTTCCACGCTAGGAAAGGTTTGCATTCACGCCCAGCTCCATACACTCAGTGCATGAGCCTACAGCGAGACACCCGAGTTTGGGGCCCCTCCCCCAGATTCACAGACATCAGTCAGATCTGTGCACAGACTGATGGGGGGCCCTACAACTCCGCCAGCACTTGCAGAGTGGCCTGGGAGTAACTGCCTCATCTCTTTGAGCATCAGTTTCTTCCTCATCCATAAAACGCAGACGATACCTGCTGTGTGAAGATCAAAGGACACAGTGATGGGTCGAAATAGATTTTGAAATGTTACTTTAAAGCAAAATGTAACTATTTCAGCTTTTACTAATTAGGAAATAGTTGTGCTCTTGCTTACTAGAATAAAAAAAGTCGCTACAGGACTGGTAGTATTTACATTGGATTCATAGCTCTGCCAGCAATTTTTTCACAGTTCAAGAAATTAAGTAAGTAACTAGATAAATTGTACCGGTGAAAGTCATGAAATCCTGACCCAATTTAGAGGATAAGAAAGCACCAATAATCATATTTTAGGTTCAAGTCTTCCAGAACACGTGCCTTGGTCACCCAGAAGTCCATAAGAGACCCAAGACTTCACCACTAGACTTAAACTGGAAAAGAAAACATAAGCTTTTCGCTGCTCTTCTGTGTTTCCCACAGCACTGCGGCTCTGCAGCGGCCCGCACTCAACCATACACCTCAGCCAACAAAGCCGCCGCCTGGGTCGGCGCGTCCAGGACCTGTGCCCCACGCTGGAACGCGAGCTTCTGCCAGAGGCCAGAGGCGGTTCCAGACGTGAGAACCGAATGAATGAAGTGCTGCGTGGGCGACGGAAGGAATAAATGCACCGTACTAGTGGGAAGCCCCAAGTGGGCCGAGCCGGAGGAAACCCGCCGCCCGCACCAGTTCCCGGAGGCTGGGGCCGCCCCGCGTGGCGACGGCCGCCCCCAACCCACCCCAAGGTCACGCGGGCGCCCTGCAGCCCCCAGGCCTCTGCAGAGCCTGCACCCCCAGAGGCCCCAACTCCGCAGGCCTCGAGCCCCCAAACCCCACGCGTCCCGACCCCGCGCCACCGAGGCCCAGCAGACGGCCGAACCTGCAGGCCGACGGGGGTTGGTGGCTGCTGCGCGGGCCGCCCACGTGGCCGCTGATAACGGCCCCGGTCCCACCGGCCCCGCCCGCCCACCCTGTCCCCGCTTGGGCCCGGCCGCACCTTGGCGGCCGCCATGGGGGCGCGGCGGCGGCGGCGGCTCGGCTGGGTCGGTCGTCGCTGGCTCCGCGGCCTCTGGGCGGCTACTCGTAGCTCCTTCCCTCCGCGTCTGGCGCCGGCGCCTCCCGCCCGCCCGCTCTTCCCTCCGCCCCGCGACCCGAACCTCGACCCCTGACCCCAGCGGCGGGAAACGCGCCGCGATTCAAAACCAGTACAGCTTTATTGGCTCAGGCGGCGGACACTCTCATTGTCCGGCCCGCCCCGCGCTTCCCGCCAAAACGCCCGTGGCGCATGCCCGGCCCGCCCGTCAGCCAGAGGAGCGCGCACTCCCGGCGACCCCTGCGCGCACTTCCGTCCCGGCCACGCGCGCCCCAAGAGCTGGCTAAAGTGGTTGGAGCCGGCGCGTGGCTATGATGTTGCCGGAAGTCAGGATCATAGAGACGCTCGGCCTCCGCGGCACGCGCTGGCGGACTAAGAGTGGCTGGCGAAGCGTGCGGCCGGCGCGGGCCCCTGGCGGGCGGGCGGTGCAGCCCCAAGCCTGAGACCAGGACCTGAGCACCGCAGGTTCGAGTACCGCCCCATCTGGGTCGAAGCCGGGGCTGGCGGCGACCTCGCGGCGTTGCACTGGCTCTCTGAGCCCTTCCCCTCTGAGCACTTCCCTTGTGACAGGCCCAGGACGAGGTGACCAGGCAGCCCCCGTGGCACCCCTGGTCTAGGCGGAGAACCGCCTGAGCGATGAGTGAGAACCTCGACAACGAGGTAGAGTGCGGGGAGACGCTGGGTAGAGACGGGGATGGGGTGGGAGGAGGCGGGGTGGGGCAGGAAACCTGCCAGAGAATAGGTGGGGACGAGGAGGGTGCGATGGGGGAGGAAAGGAGACGGGAATGGGGTCGGGAGGGTAGAATGGGGGAGGGGAGGGGCAGGGTTGAGTGCAGAGTGCACCGACGGAGGTTTGGGTGTGCCATAGGGGAGCCTGGGCGGCCAGGCCCCAGGGCCTAGTCCTCACCCTAGCACCCCATCTGTCCCCACACAGGGCCCGAAGCCCATGGAGAGCTGTGGCCAGGAGAGCAGCAGTGCCCCGAGCTGCCCTACAGCCTCGGTGCTCCCTGCAGACCCGGCAGCCCTGGAGGAGGTGGAGAAAGAGGGCGCTGGGGCAGCTACAGGGCCGGGGCCTCAACCTGGGCTCTACAGCTACATCAGGGATGACTTGTTTACCTCTGAGATCTTCAAACTGGAGCTGCAGAACGTGCCTCGCCACGCCAGCTTCAGCGACGTCCGGCGCTTCCTGGGCCGCTTTGGCCTGCAGCCCCACAAAACCAAACTCTTTGGGCAACCACCCTGCGCCTTTGTGACATTCCGCAGCGCTGCAGAGAGGGACAAGGCCCTGCGCGTTTTGCATGGTGCCCTCTGGAAAGGCCGCCCACTCAGTGTGCGCCTGGCCCGACCCAAGGCCGACCCCATGGCCAGGAGGAGGCGACAGGAGGGTGAGAGTGAGCCACCGGCAACACGAGTGGCCGACGTGGTGACCCCTCTATGGACAGTGCCCTATGCTGAGCAGCTTGAGCGGAAGCAGCTGGAGTGCGAGCAGGTGCTGCAGAAACTCGCCAAGTGAGTGAGGGCGCAAGACACCCCTCCTGGCTGGGGCTCTGCCCGGCCCTGTGCTTCCTCAGCCTGCCTGTGCACCAGTCGGGAGGCCCAGCACAGGATCTGGCGGCCCCTTTGGGAGCTAGCAAGTGGGACACCCATGTTACAGGGGGCACAATGAGGTCCGAAAGGAGGGATTGGGAGCCTGGACATTGGGGAGTGGCCTAGCATGGGTAGGGGACAGTAGGTGGAGTCCAACCACAGATCTGCTCCTCTTACAGGGAAATCGGGAGCACCAACCGTGCCTTGCTGCCCTGGCTGCTCGAGCAGAGGCACAAGCACAACAAGGCCTGCTGCCCACTGGAGGGGGTCAGGCCATCACCCCAGCAGGTCAGGCTAGACTTCGGTGGCCACAAACCCCTATCCCGGGATTTGAAAACTTTGCTTTTGCTCACCCTTTCTGTTGATCTTTTTGTTTTCTCTGGTAACTTATCACATAGCTATCAGCTATTCCTCTTGTTTGACTGCCAGGCCCTGTGGGGAAATCAGGGTTTCCAGGCACAAGCGCTGGGCAACCAGGGTAAGGTGCAGCTGTCTCTCCCTGCAGACTGAGTATCGTAATAAGTGTGAGTTTCTGGTTGGCGTCGGGGTGGATGGGGAGGATAACACCGTGGGCTGTCGGCTCGGCAAGTACAAGGGCGGGACGTGTGCTGTGGCGGCCCCGTTTGACACCGTGCACATCCCCGAAGCCACCAAGCAGGTGGTGAAGGCCTTCCAGGAGTTCATCCGGTGAGTACCTGTGACGGGGCTCCTGGGAAGTCCTGTGCGGTGTGGGAGCAGAGGGTGGGGATCCCACCCAGGGAATTCTGGAGTGCCTGCCATTTCAGCCAGTTGAAGGAAGGTGTGGCCAGAGGAGAGAGCAGGGGAGCTGCTTCCCCAGTCCTGGGCACTCAGGCCAGCTCGTGATCCCCACAGGTCAACTCCATACTCGGCATACGACCCAGAAACATACACAGGCCACTGGAAGCAGCTGACTGTGCGCACCAGCCGCCGCCGCCAGGCCATGGCCATTGCCTACTTCCACCCCCAGGTCTCAACGGGGGCCCTGCTGGGGGAGGATGCCTGGCCTGGGTGGGCGTCGGCACAGCCTGATGGGACCTTTTCACCACTTACTCCAGAAACTGAGCCTGGAGGAGCTGGCAGAGCTGAAAGCCTCCCTAGCACAGCACTTCACAGCAGGGCCAGGCAGGGCCAGTGGAGTGACCTGCCTCTACTTCGTGAAGGAGGGACAGCGGTGAGGAGCCCGAGTGGGGCGGGGTGGGTCCCTGCAGGGACTGTGACACTGAAGGACCTGCACCTCCGCCCACAGAAAGACTCCCAGCCAGGAGGGCCTGCCCCTGGAACACGTGGCTGGGGACCGGTGCATCCATGAGGACCTGCTAGGGTTGACCTTCCGGATCTCTCCGCACGCCTTCTTCCAGGTAGCCCTGAGTCCCTGGTGGGCATGGGGACATGTTGAGGAAGGCCTGGTGCACCATCAGGACGTGATGGGAACAGTGGGCTCAGGTGGGAAGATTTGGGGGAGCATCCAGGCAGGGAAGCCACAGGGGAGGTGAAGTAGGAAAAAGGTTGGTCATCACTGATTTGACTTGTGACAATCTAGAGGTACACATGGTAGTGGCCCTTATCACAGGGAGGATGAGGAGTGGCCCTCAGTGCACTACCACGGGGTGCTGCTCTGGGCTTGGCAGGAGGGAGGCCATGGTGGCTTCTGGACTGGGAAACTGTTTCACTGTCCGCTCACTGCTGCAGGAAGGCTGTGGGGACCTGGAGCAGCCCTGTTTTTGGAGACAGGCCCAGTAGGACCTCCTGGAGGGCCAGGTGTAGGGGTGGGACCTGCAGTTGGGTGAATCCAGGGACCCTGGTGTGAGTTATGGGAGGCAAAGCCCCCTTGCTGGGGCAGGGAAGGTGCACCCTACTGGCCTGTGGGGCCTCGTGAGCCCTCAACCAAACGGGGCAAGGAGGAGGCTGTGCTCAGCACAAGCTTGGCTTTTAAAGCTGGGGGCTGGGTGAGGACATCAGCAAGGCTGATCCAAGATGGTGTCAGGGATGGGGTTGGGCACCAAGGTAGGGGAGTGGGCGCCAGAGGTCCCAGCAGGATTGAGAGACCAGGAATGTGGGCCTCAGAGGGTGCCAGTGGCACCACAGGAGATGAGCCACTGACATGCTGGGCACCACCTGCCCCCAGGTGAACACACCCGCAGCTGAGGTGCTCTACACAGTCATTCAGGACTGGGCCCAGCTGGATGCAGGGAGCACGGTGCTGGATGTGTGTTGTGGCACCGGCACCATTGGCCTGGCCCTGGCCCGGGTGAGCCCTCCCGCCCTGCTGAGGGCACCTTCTTCCCACCCCCAAGACCCCCACTGACCCCAGCTCGAAGGCACTGCAACTGACTCCATCATGCCCCAGGCCCAGCTCCTCTTTGCTGCCCTCGGCCCCATGCACTCCCCTCCCTGAGGTAGCCCTGGGTGGGGTGACACCACACTTTCCTGTTTCAGAAGGTGAAGAGAGTCATTGGGGTTGAGCTATGCCCAGAGGCCGTGGAGGACGCCCGGGTGAACGCCCAGGACAATGGTGAGTGGCAAGGCCGAGGGTGGGGGTGGGACAGGGGCAGCCGCCACCCCTGCTGCAAGCGTCAGCCACAGCCAGGGCTTGAGGGCTACCCAACGGGTAGAGCAAGCGAACAAGCTCTTTGGCTAGGGGTTCCCCAGGGCTGGCCCTGCTGGGAGGGCATGCGGCCCTCTGACAGGCCACCGTGCCATCTCTTCAGAGTTGAGTAATGTGGAGTTCCACTGTGGGAGGGCCGAGGACCTGGTGCCCGCCCTAGTGAGCAGACTGGCCTCCCAGCACCTTGTGGCCATACTGGACCCACCCCGTGCCGGCTTGCGTGAGTGGCTTTTGCTTGAGGTGGTGGCATGGGAACGAGGACACATGGGGTGACTCACCAGGTTGTGGATTCTCTGGCTGTGGGGACCCAGCTGGTATTTGCCTCCTCAGATTCCAAGGTGATCCTGGCCATCCGCAGAGCTGAGAATATCAGGCGACTGCTGTACGTCTCATGCAACCCCCGGGCAGCCATGGGCAACTTTGTGGAGTGAGTGTCAGCAGGGACCTGGACGGGGGCCAGGCCTGGCACGAAGCCCCCAGCTCCCACAGGAGCCTGTGACTAGCCCATCGGCTGACCTTGGTGCCTGCCTTTTTGCCCCACAGCCTCTGCAGAGCCCCATCTAACCGGGTGAAGGGCACCCCCTTCCGGCCAGTCAAGGCCGTGGCAGTGGACCTGTTCCCACAGACCCCGCACTGTGAGATGCTCATCTTGTTCGAGAGGGTGGAGCACCCCAATGGCACAGGGGTCTTGGGGCCCCACAGCCCTCCAGCTCAACCCACACCAGGACCCCCAGATGATACCCAAGAAACTGGGGCCTTCCCCTTATCCTAGGCCCAGGACCCATCATGGGGACAGGAGCTGAAGGGCTCCCAGGGCCCCAGGGGCGGCAAAGGCATGGCTTGCTGGCCAGGATATTCAGAGGTAGGCAGCCAAAGGGCACAGAACCCTGCGCCCCACCAGGATTGGCCTGTTGCTGGGGGCCAGGGGGCCTGACCAGGAAGGCAGATGGGCTCCTGCAGCCTGTTCCCCACCCGCGGGGTCTTTGTGGACTAGCCAAGGCTATGAGGGCCAGAATAAACAACTGCTCAATGAGGGATGTTTCTGTGATGAGAGCCAGGGGTTGAACACAGGGCCTGGGTGCCAGGGAAAGGGTCAGACAGCCTGGGCAGCTCTGCAAGCCCCTCTGCACAGCTAGGGGAGTCAGGGCACAGAGCTTACTTTTAAACAGAATGTTGGATTTGATACTTAAACTTGAGGAGGCAGAGATAAGTCTGGGAATTGCACCAGCTGGGTGCGGGGGTGGAGAACACTGGGCAGAGAGTTGGCCCCTCGGTGGCCAGCCTTGCCCTCACAACCAAGGAAGGGGCCATCCTGTGGTGCTGTTCAGCTGTTACAAAGGCAGGGTGCAGCCTGCAGAAGCTCCAGGAGGGGATCTGCCCGGTCAAGGGTCCACAGGGTGCCAGCCTCTCACACTCAGAATAAAGACATTAGCCATTCCCTTCTGGACAGTTTGCTTTATGCGTTCAGACAATTGAGGCTCGCCTTCCAGGCACAGCCCAGTGCCCTGGATGGCATCAGCATAGGCTCCCCTGCCCTAGCCTTGAAGCATGGCTGTGTGCACGATTCACACCCACACTTGGCATAAGGGTGGGGGTGGGGGTGTGGGGGCACGGAGACCACAAGAGTATGGCAGCACCTGCTGTGGTGGTGGTGCCTGGGAACAGCAAGACACAGCGAGGCTCCCCAGCCTTTAGGGGAACACATGTGCACGAAGCTTTGGTTCACAGGCGCATCTGGCTGGCTAAGGGCAACAGTCACAGTCACATGACTATTCACAGCTGCAGACAGGAGGCAAGACAGAAGCAAGTATCTAATTACAGCAACTTGAGGGTTTCCTTTTTAAAGGTCAACAGAAGCCAACCTTGGTCACACAGGTGGTGAGGGAGGGATATGCTGTGGGCGGCCCATGGGCCAACATTGTTCTCCTGACAAAAAAAAGAAAAAAAAAAAAAAAAAAAAAACCGCCATCAGTACCACCTGTGGGGGGTGTGGTGGAGGACAGACACGGCAGAATGCTGGACTCTTGCTTCAGATGGTGCACCACAAGCACACGGCACCCTGCATAGGTGCCTTTGAGGACACCCTGGTGCCTCAGACTCAGGCAGGAACACATTTCCATCCCACACCCACACACAGGGGCCACCAGTCGAGAAGCAAGCTGGGCACTGGGCAGCTGCCTTTGACATCCAGAGAAGCCGCTGTCAGTCAACATCTCTGGATGAAGAATGGGCTACACTGAAGGCCCTTGCTTCCTGTTTAAACAGGTCCACTTGCTAAAATGCATGATTCCAAATCTACCTTCTACTCTCACTGTAAAAGTCTCTTTCAAAATGCTAAGATACCACAAAAGCTTTAAAAATCAATGGGTGGACATATGGACTCGACTGCAAAAAATCTTTGTAAAAAACTGTTGCCGGAGGCCAGGAAAGGCAGGGAGGGCCTCAGTGTCCAGAGAGGCGCTCTTAGGGTGTTAAGACTTCATCAGAAAAAGGGGCCTTAGGAAGCCAGGGCAACTCCAGGAGGTGGCGGGACATCATCCTCGCTGGCATCATGTCCAGACTGAAGAGGGACCACCTTGATGGTTTGCCTCCAATCCCAGAAAGGTAGTTCTGATACTAAAATTCTGCTTATTTTAAGCCAAAAAGGTTTAAAATACTCTTTTCTGTTCTACCTTTTCAAAGAAGGGGAAACACAGAAGGCAGGTGAGGGCAGGGCACCATGTGCACCTCCTAACCAGGTCCCTGCAGCAGCCCTGCAGGCATCCTGGGCACATGGGCCACCTGGCATCACGGGCCAGCCACAGGACTCAGCCATCCCCTCTCATCTGTCATCCAAGTATCATGTGTCATCAGTGCATATTACATACTAAAATTCATGAAAGCCTTCATAAAAAGAGCCTGCAGCAGATGCACAGAAGCAAGGTCCACCACTGTTCACAGTCACCAGCTGCCACTGGTGCAGTCGCTGAGTCCATCCATTCAGGCCTGGAGCCTTCCAGGGGGAGCCGCTGCTCCACATGTGTGCTGTGTGGCCGTGACTGTCCCTGTACACCAGAGCCTCCACCCTCAGGCCAGGCCCACAGGTTGGCCACAGGGAAGGAGCTTGGGTTGGAGGCCTGACACTGTGGTGCACGATGCATGACTGCCGGTCTCCTCAGAAATGCTGCTGGCGGCCCCCGCGCCCTGGCCTGTGCCACCTCCCTCACACGTCCACGGTGCACAGGGGCTCACCGCCAGGCTGGGCGGACGCCACAATGGACATCTTGGGCTTCTTTCGAGTCTCCTCCTGAAAGAACAACAAAGGTCAGGGGTGCCAGTGAGGGGGGCTCGGCAGAGGCTCGGGAGGGCACAAGGTGGAGGGAGAGCCCAGCAGACCATGCCAGAAGGCCCTGGAGCCCAAGGGCAGGGAAGGCTAGAAGAAGCAGGGAAGGCCTGAGGCAGGCCAGCCTGAGACTGCAGAGGCCCCCTGGATTGCCATCAGAGCACAACATGCGCAGCCTACCTGGCCATCAGGACATGTACCAAGAAGTGAAGAATTTTGGGTGTAGTTACAGTGGCAGGCCAGGCCTCCACACTAGGTGTTTCTCCCTTGCCCAGCTTTTGCTTGCCCCAGGCCCAGCCAGGAGCACTGTGTCCTGCACCTGCTGCCCTTGAGCCCCACAGCCCCTCTTCCGACCAGGGGCAAACCAGGAAGTCCCACTGGCTCCAGGAGGCCAAGCCCCACCCCAGGGAGCAGCGAGGGACCTGCTGGCCTGGGCGGCGGCAGATACCTCCTGGGGCTCTCACCCAGGCCAGGGAACTGCCACACTTAAGAAAACTCCCACCCAGAAGGCCCAGGCGGGTGCGTCACGCCGTGGCCACGCAGACGATGCCTGAGGACAGACGACACCACTGCCAGCCTGACAGACCCCCCTTTGAGTGGGGTTCCCAAGGTGGCTTTAGGGGCTTCATCAGGACCAAGCCCTACAGATTCAACCCTGGCAGGCGCACTGACCTACCCACAAACACCCAGGGTGGACATGGGACCCAGGTGGCCCACCAAGGCTGTGACCTTCATGGTCCACCACTAGGCTGGCCTGCCAGCTCTCTAACAACAGAACCAAAACTGAAGTGATTTATAAAAGTATCACACATGTTGAAGCTCAAAGAAAAGCCTGTATCTGATTTTGGAAGGAGGATCCAAGCATTTCCAAGGTGTCAGCTCAGATACGGGTCCTGGGGGTGCCTGCTGTCCCTCCACAGCTGCCACAGGAATGGCCGTGGCCCAGCAGCTCTCCCGCTAGGGTGGCACTCACCCTCTCCTCAGCCAGCCTCTTCATCTCCTCCTGGAGCTTGCTGAGGATGTGCAGGTTGGGCTTGTTCTTCTTGGCATACTGCTGCAGCTCAATCACACTCTTGTCCGACGTCTCCTGGGAAGTACAGCACCTCACGCTCAGGACTGCAGGCTGTAGCTCCATGGCCTGCCCACTGCCCAGCAGCTGTGTGCCTGCAACCCTGAAGGCAGGCGCGTCCAGGGCCTGGCAGACACCAAACAGCCAGGAGCTGTGGCCACAAAACTACATGCTGACTGCCCGCCTCAGTGATGCCAGGCCCACTGACAGCAGCGAGAGTGAGGGGCAGTCCACGGCTGCCAGGCCTTTCTGCCCACACGAGGCCACTTATGCGGCCTCCTGCCATGGGCAGAGCAGGGAGGTGAGGTGCTCGTGGTGCCCAGAGCCCTCATCAAGGAGAGAAACCAGAGCGCGGCCGCAGCCAGTTAAGAACAGCACGCTGCAGCCCAGCCCATCAACCCCAGGCACTGAGCTCTCTGCAAATATCATGACTGCAGAGGAGCATCAGACTGGCCTCAGCCCCTTCAAGTCTTAGGCCAGCCCCAAGGCTGCTGTGTTTCCTCGGGATGCCAGAGCTCCTCCCAGCTGTGGCTGTGCCAGGCTGGGACTTTTCCCCCTCCTGCTTAGGGAAGTTTCCCACCCCCGGGCCAGAGTGGGGCTTGCCTTCTCTCCCTCGGTCAGAACCAAGGACCATGCACAGCAAAGGCAGAAGCAAGCGCTACCTACATTTCAATTTGCTTCCCAACAATGTCTCTCCTCAAGTTCCTCAACACGCCCTGGTGGCCCGTGTGGGCCCCCTCACCCTCCCTTATCATGTCCAGAGTAACGGCCTCTTCAGGGACAGTGCCGAGGCCATGGTCTCAGGGACCTAAAGGCAGGCCCTGCTCTTGGCAGCAGGCTCCGGCATAGGGCCCACCCACCACACAGTCCTGGGGCTGCCCCACCTGCAGCCCCAACCCCTCCACACCTACTTCCCCTTCCACTGACCAGAACCCAGAGAGTTTCTGTAATCATTTGGGGAAAATGAGGAACGTAAACACTCACCTCCCCATGTTACCCTCCACCCCTCAGGAGTGGGCACTGGTACCAGGAAGAGCTACCCTGACACTCTCTTTCAAGCAGGGAGGGCTGGCCCTGGCTCCTGAGCCTTTGCATACCCCAGAGCCAGGCGCACCTTCAGCATCTCCTGCCCGGCCCTGCCTTGCACTTCAGCCATCTCCCTACAAGCCACATAGCTGGGCCCAGGCTGCGTTCCCAATCACCCACATTTCACTGACCATTCCCAGCAGGCCGGGATAGGAGATGTGGCTAGGACGACCCACCCCCTGCCCACAAAGCCACACAAGTGGCCCAGGAGAGAGGCAGCCGTGAGCAACCCTGAGCACAGAGCCTCAGGAACACGCTCCAGGGTGGCAGCACAGGCTGCCCTGGGACCTGCTGAGGGCCAGTTACCTGCTTGACCATCTTGCTGCTCTCACGGCCGTACATGCGCAGTAAAGAACCCCAGTTCTTGACATGTGGGTGCAGCAGCTGAAGGATCTTCTGTGAGGCTAACTGCTTTCCAACTCTCTTATTCTTACCTACACAGAGAAAGAGCAAGCACGGAGAGAGGGTGTCACAAACACCCAGTGCTCACGGGGCCCCCTGCTGCCCCCAGCCCTCCTGACCCACACCCCGAACGCCAGCAAGGGCACATTCTATAGGAACAGGCAGCACTCTGCCACTGCTCTGGGCACCTGAGTCTCACAGTACACAGCTGCCACCTTGAGAGTAGCCCTCAGAGTCCAGGAGCTGAGGGCACCACCACTCAAAGCCACGCAGCTAAGAGCCTCCCTCCCGCCAAGACCCACACCTCCAGAAACAAGGAGTAGCAGGATTCTGCCAGCTATCTGAGAAGGAGAGCCTTTCCTCCTGCCACAGGGACAAGGGCTGGACAGAGACAGGGATGGCAGCGGGGGAAAGGGAGAAGACAGAGAAAGTACAGGCAGGATGGCCGCAAGTCTGCCTTAGGCTGAATGTGTGGTGGCCAGCACACACAGCTGGGCTCAGGGACAATGCCAGGGCAGCAGCTGAGACCAAGCCACAGAGGCACAGGGCCACACCAGGGGCCGCCTGCCCGGCAGCCACCAGGCAGCAGGGAAGGAGTCCTTACACCACCCGCGCACTGTGTGCTTGCCACACGCCATGACGTATTCACTCTTCTGGTTTTTCCCAGGAACCACTTCAAACTTGATAGACGTGTCACCCATCCCATGGTTTCTTTAAGAGAAAACAGACAACAGGTGGTGTCCCCTGAGCAGAGCAGCCAGCTGCCTCTGAGAAGGCCTGCTCTGGGAAGCCCTTAGGAAATGACCAAGCCTCTCCCCCGACTGCATCTTAGCCAGAGGGGGGAATTCTCCACACGCCCTATTCAGGCCTGCGGGACTGACTGGTGGCCAGGGCCAAGGAGTTAATGTGTACCAGGGAAACCTGGCCATGCCTCTGCCTTAGGACAAACAGCCACGAGAATATGAGACGCCAGAGAGGAGCTCCCCTGACCTGACTCAGGAGGGGAGGCACCCCCCACCCTACCTTTTAAGGCACTCGTGGAGGATCTGATATGGAGACAACAGCCCAGCCTTGCTGGTCAGCTCGTAGACCCGCGAGTCCTCGATGCTGATGTGGTTAAAATACTACAACACAAAGCAGAGGCTCATGAGTCCCCACCAGGCCCGCCGGCCTCTTCACGGCTGGGCCTGGGGTTGGCTTTCCCCAGATGCTTAATATCTGTTCTTGTGAGCTCACCTAGCACATCATACCCTCAACTCTGCAAGGAACCCACCGGATATGGGACACGCTCCATACCTCACCATCCACTTGCCCATCTCCAGAGCCCACAGCACCCTTCCGCCCTGAGCACTGTGGGACGGAGTCTGGCATCCCAAGAGAGCCCCAGGCACATGGCTGGCTGGCCAGGCCCACCTCATCTGGATCTGATTCTGATCTACAAGGCACCTTTGTCAGAACTCTATATATAAAGCACTTTTGGAGAGAGGCTTTACTATTGTCACAACTGAGACTACAGTAGAGGGAAAGTCAGCCAGACCCAAAAGCTGGCCTTAAAAGGCCCAGCTCCCCAAAGGCCAAAGCCCCACACAGCCACACAGAGCCCCGCCCCAGGTGGCCAGCAGGGGCCCAGCCCAGCGCAGCTTCCAACAGTGTCATCACCCTGGCTCTGCAGCCAACCCAAGAACACACACAGGAAGGGCAAGAGAGGCATACAGGTAAACAAGTTCCCTAAGTTACACTCGAGGGGATGGGGAGATTCTGCACAGTTGAGGCATAGGGAAGCTGCACTGAGCTGAGGTGCAGAGGCAGCGCCTGCTGTGCCTTCCCCAGCTAGGCCTTTGGCTGAAGCTGAGAGCCCCTCCTGGGTGAAAGGAAGACGCCATTCAGCCCACTCTGGAGCATGGACAACCTCCTTGGTGGAGCTGCTGTGACAACATACCACAAACTCAGTGGCTTAGAACAAGAGGTTTATTCTCTCACCATTCTGAAGTCTGAAATCAAGGCCTCAGCAGGGCCATCCTCTTTCAGAAGCCTCCAGGGAGCCTCTGCCAGCTCCTGATGGCCCCTCGGCTATGGCAGCATTGCTCCGATTTTCATGTGGACTACTAGCCCTGCCCCTCCTCCCTCTTCTTAGAAAAACCAGACACACTTGATCACACTACCACTCTGCTTCAGTGTGATCTCATGTTAACCCAACTAATTCTATCTGCAATCATCCTCTTTCCAAAAAAGACCACATGCTGAAGTACTGGAGATTACCCATCAGCCACACCCTCACAGAGCTTCCCCCACCGGCCCTGTTCTGGAGAGGTCTGCAGGGACCTGGAGCCTGCCTGGCCCATGGGCAGGGAGGAAGCCTAGAATCAAATGATTCACACACCTCGCCGTGCAGGCCCCACAGTGTGGCAAGCCCACTCCACAGGGACGCTGGCCCTACAGACAGGGCAGCGGGCAGCTCCTCTGCCCTTACCACTCCAGTAAGCAGCAAGAAGGCCAACTCGCTGCAACTGCATGAAAGAGGAAGGCACTAGCACTGAGGTTGGCAAGCGAAAAATCCTCACAGTATGGCTTGGCTACGGTCTTCAAACAGGTCTCCAGAAGACACTGCTCCTCTCAAGTGCACAAATCAACATGGGTCTTTTTCCAGGGAAGGTCACTCACCAAGACATCAGGCCCTGGAACCTCAAGGGCTTGTCAACCAGCCAACCAATTAGCAACGTCTAGTGCTCTCGGCCCACAAGGACCCACATACCCCGTGGCTTCGGGACTGGCCCTAGAGAAGCCATGGCCGTGGAAGCTAGAGAGCATGCTCAGAAGTTTCTGGCAAAAGACCTAAGCCAGGATGCCCGGCACCAAGCTGCCTGAAGCCATAGGGTTAACCCGCCAGGGACAGGTGGAGGCTCCAGCTCGTGAGAGCAGATGGATGGCAGAAGTGACCTGCAGACAAATCCCTGTTGCTTCTGACAAACAGCACAGGAGAAACCTAAGCAATGTGTGCCTGGGAGATGCCAAAGGACCATGCGGGAGCACCACAGACGCCTGACACCTCTACATTCCACTATCTAGATGAAATGGACCAATGCCTGGCAAGACAAAAACTATCTCAGTAGCCTCAACAGCCCTACACCTGTTCAAGAAACTCAACAGTAGTTCAGAGTAGTCGTAGTTATAGTTAGTAGTTCATACAGTAGTAGTTTAAAACTTTCCCACTAGGAAAACTACAGGCCCAAATTTTAAGGAAGAAATGATACCAATTCTACATCTCTCTTGCCCTTCTGAAAAACTCAGGAGGAGGGCTATTTCCCCTTCACTTGACGACACTAACCGTACCATGACATTAACATCCAGAACACAGATGCAGTGGGGAACTAGCAAATTAAAGCCATTAACACATGAAAAGGAATATATACCATGCCCAAGTAGGACTTATTCCAGGAACACATTTTTAAAAAATCAACATAATTAACTATATTGACAAATAAAAGAAGAAAATTGGATACGGAATCTACAGAAAAACTACTAGAATAAGTCAGTACAAATAAAACAAATTCTAGCTCTGTATGCTAGCAATAAACAATCAGAACTAAGGTACTATTCACCACAGTGCCACGCATAAAATATTTAACTATAAATCTAGTAGAATATACACAGATGTGATTAAATCTATGTGATGAAAACTGCTGACCACCCATGAAAGATATCAAAGAAGACCTAAATAAATGAACAGATGAACTATGTTTATGATTTGGAAAATTCAATATTGTTAGGATGTCCATTCTCCCCAGATTGATCTACAGGATCAATTCCAATCAAAATGCAGGCTTTTTCTTTTTTAAGATGGAGTTTCGCTCTTGTTGCCCAGGCTGGAGTGCAATGGCACGAGTTTGGCTCACTGCAACCTCACCTTCCACCTCCTGGGTTCAAGTGATTCTCCTGCCTCAGCCTCCTGAGTAGCTGCGATTACAGGTGCCCGCCACCACACCCGGCTAATTTTTGTATTTAAGTAGAGATGGGGTTTCACCATGTTGGCCAGGCTGGTCTCGAACTCCTAACCTCAGGTAATCCACCCACCTCAGCCTCCCAAAGTGCTGGGATTACACGCGTGAGCCACGGCACCCAGCCCAGAACTTTTTATGGAAACTGACATACTGTTTCTGAAGTCTACATGGAACAGCAAAGGAGCTAGAATAGCCAAAACAATTTTTTGAGAAAGAATAACAAACTCGGAGGATTCCCACTATCTGATTTCAAGACTTCAAGTCATCAGCAAAGTGTGGCATCAGTGAAAGGACACACAGCTCAAGAGATAGTAGAGAACCCCGAAACAGACACACTTCCACGGTCACCTAGTGACTGAGAATGGTGTGAGGGCAATGCTAACGTAAGCGTGCACCTGCCGCATGGCCCAGCAACCCCAACCCAGGGGTTTACCTGAAGGAAACGAATCTGTCCATCACACACAGACCTGGACAGCCTTACAGCAGCCTTACTGCCCATCACCAAAACCCAGAAACCTGCCAGTGTCCCTCAAGGGAGAATGGAGAGATGCACTGAGGGGCACAGCCACCTGGTGGCCAGCACTCAGGAGTACAAATGACCACATGACGGATGCATCATACTACACCAAGCCACAGGCCAGATTCAAAGGCTACCTAGCATGTGATTCCACTGAGAGGACATTCAGGATCTGGTAAAACTACAGGGGAAGTTCAGTGCCCACCAGAGGATACAGGTGGCAGAGTTTGGCCAACAAAGGAGCATGTGGGAGTGTACAGAAATGTTCCGCATCTTGATTGCAGTGTTGGTTACATGACTGCATTTGTCAAAACTCATAGTACTGCATGAAAAAGTGAATTTAACTCTATGTAAATTTTAAAATAAGTTGAAAAAAAAACACACTTGGTCACTAATACCTAAATTTAATAGCCACGAAACACCAACCCACAGCTAGCAACAAAATACCAAGAAGAGATCACCACAAGCTTTATGAAAAGGAAATGATGCCAGTTCTGTTCCTCTTTTTCCCTTTTTAATCAAGTAGCACACATACGTGGCCACCACACCTCCCAGGCATCAACCCACCCCTCCTGCCACGCCTGCCCCACCTCCGGAGTCCACACGAGGAGGGGATGCTACCCCACGCCCCAGGCTGTCCAGGGGACAGTCCAAGGACAGGTGTTGGCACCTCTGCACAGGCAGCTGGGAGGGGCAGGGGGCAGGAGCACAACCTGAGAGCCTCGCTCAGGAGGACCAGCAAATAGGAACTTCCAGGAACAGGAGACAGCCAACCCTGTCTAAACCCGCGCCCTACCACTGAGGGAAAAGCTACTTTTCCCTCTGACAGATTTTAAAATGGGGACATGACAGATGACATATATACAAATCAGAGGGTCAAAGAGCTTCTCAGGAGGGACACATACAAAAGGCACCCTAAACCAAGGCATGGCATCATAAAAATACATGGTCTTCTCTCAGGTTCCCAGAACAGAGCAATTAAAACCCTGAGGATTCCCTGAGGCTAAGTTTGTCTGTGATTCAAAACGACCCCACCGCAGTGCTTATGCTGAGATGGCTCAGGGTGGGCTCCCTAGAGAGATCAAATGTGTCATTAGAGGGGAGGAACTCTCAGCCCTTCATGAAAAATAAGTTTCATGAGTAAAATGTTCTTCCTGAGTTCCCTGAGTCCTAGCAAATTTCCAAGCATGAGGAGGGGTCCTGTGCTGGGTGGCGGGGTCCCCATTTGCAGCTGGCACAGGAAGTGGTGGCAGTCCCACAGAACTGAACTCCTTACCTGGGGAGATCTGACACTAGCTCCAGACAGACTGTAGTGTGGGAGGCCTGGAGGAGGGTGTGGAAAAAGCCCCAGGCAGGCGAGTCTACAGCGGAAGCCACCACGTGCCCCACCCCCATGTCCTTCTCCACCTGGGGAAACCTCTTTTTTCTCAGACTACTTTGCAATATAGTTTCTGAGAAGCTTCTCCACTTCACAGAAGAGCCCCAGAACGGAGGCTGAGAACCTGACTCCCAGCTGGGCCCTCTTCTGGCGCCAGAACCCATAGTGGTCCATGGACATTTCCACCACCCCACAGCAAAGAAAAGGCAGGGCTTTTACTCAAACAGGAAGGTGGCGTGAGACCCATACAACTCAGGCACCATCATCTGCAACAACCCATGCTAAGAGTCTTGGTGGGCAGGGGTCTACGCAAGCGCTTCCCCAGAGGGCCTTGGAAGCCTCCCTGGGAGCCATCTTTCCCACAGTTGGATCACTCAGAAATAAAAGTCAAATGTGGCCGGGCACAGTGGCTCACACCTGTGATCCCAGCACTTTGGGAGGCCAAGGTGGACGGATCACGAGGTCAAGAGATACAGACTATCCTGGCCAACATGGTGAAATCCTGTCTCTACTAAAAATACAAAAATTAGCTGGGCATGGTGGCATGCGCCTGTAGTCCCAGCTACTCAGGAGGCCGAGGCAGGAGAATCGCTTGAACCTGGGAGGTGGAGGTTACAGTGAGCGGAGATCGAACCACTGCACTCCAGCCTGGTGACAGAGCGAGACTCCATCTCAAAAAAAAAAGGTACAAATGTGACTCTTCCTGGAGCAGCTAGTACTTGGAGACTGTGCTTGATCCAAGTGCGGCCTGCGATCTGTCTACCTGTCCACGATGAAGCAGTTACATAAAGCACAGAAAAAATGTAGAAACTTGAGAGCAAGAGGCTGGGTGTGGTGGCTCATGCCTGTAATCCCATCACCCTGGGAGGCTGAAGCAGGAGGACTGCTTGAAGCCAGGAGTTCGAGAAACTTAAGAGCAAGTTAGTACTACCATGGACACTTAACCATATTTTACAACAGCCCCAGTACACAAAGATGACAAAACTTTACAAAACCATAAAGTAGTTCTAGAATGGCTGAATAAGGATCTTCAGAATCTGCTCTCTTCCATCAAAGCAACAAGAACACTAGCAAAAATAGTCAGAATCAATTCTTTCAGAACCCTGGAAACTAAAGAAAGGCTTTCAACAATCCGAGGAGTGTTGATTCAAGAAAGACAATGAGTCTTGCTAAGAACAAGAAGTTGCTGGCATCTTAACTTGCCCCATTCCCAGCCCTTCTCCCCAGCTCTGTGGTAGCCACTCAATGCAGAATGGGTCCTCAAGGCCCCAGGCCCAGAGAATTGTCACTGTTGGGTCTACCTGGCCACTCTCTGGAAAAGCCTCATGGCAGGACTTGTCTTTATTTGACCTCACTCAGTGAAAACAGCCCAGTTCCTCAGAGCATTTGTCAAAAGGAGTCAGTAGCAACTGTTTCACCCTGCAGCTGCCAGAGGCTGGGGCACTAGTTGGGCAAACAAGAGGCTGGCCAAGAACCCGAGAAGGAAAAGTTGGATATGTCCTTGGGCCTCTGAAAGGCTCTAGCGTATGTCTGGAGATGGCTGCATGCGGGCCCAGGAAAACCTCCCAGCTGATTGACCTGGAGGCTCTGTACAGGTGGCAGACAAAGGCTAAGACAGTTAGTAGCCACCGGAGCACACCAGGTGAGCCCCACAGACCTCAGCACAGGCCAGGAGACTTACTGGCTCAGGGAATTTAAGAAAATCCCTGTCCAGGCCGGGCGTGGTGGCTCACGCCTGTAATCCCAGCACTTTGGGAGGCCGAGACGGGCGGATCACGAGGTCAGGAGATCGAGACCATCCTGGCTAACACGGTGAAATCCCGTCTCTACTAAAAAAATACAAAAATTAGCCAGGCACAGTGGCGGACGCCTGTAGTCCCAGCTACATGGGAGGCTGAGGCAGGAGAATGGCGTGAACCTGGGAGGCGGAGCTTGCAGTGAGTGGAGATCACGCCACTGCACTCCAGCCTGGGCGACGGAGCGAGACTCTGTCTCCCAAAAAAAAAACAAAAAAAACAAAAGAAAATCCCTGTCCAAGCATCAGGAGACCACTCAGCTAAAGCGCCAGTGTATTCAGTGGCCACAAATCACAAAGAATACACGCTTCACAAAATCAATCTAGGAAAGTCACTATTATGAGGCAAACTGTCACCCCCAAATTTACATGTTGAAGTTCCTCAGAATGCAACAGTATTTGGAGACAAGGTCTTTACAGAGGTCATCACGTTACAATGAGGTCATTAGGGTGGGGCCTAATCCAGTGAGACAGGTGTCTCTCTAACAAATGGAGAATGTGGAGACCAACATGCACACAGAGAGAAAGGCATAGACATGAAGATCGCTATCCTCCACCCACGGAGAAAGGCCTTCTCTTAGCCTTCTGGCACTTTCATTTTGGACTTCTGGCTTCCAGAACTTTGAGACTATACATCTCTGTCATTTAAGTCTCCCAGTATGTGATACTTTGTTACAGCATCCCTAGCAGGATGATACAGTCACAAATAGAGAGCAAGAATATATGACAAGAAGTATAAACTTAAGGGAGGTGGGTTAATCTGATTTCCAGAGTTGCCATATATTTTAAATGTCCAATTCTCAACAACAACAAAAAATTCTGAGACAAGCAAAGAAATAGGAAAACAGAGACAGCCCATACATGAAGGGAAAGGCAGTTTAATATACATGTTCTCTGAGGACTGGACTTACCAGAAACAGATTTTACATCACCTACAGAAAACATGCTCAAAGGACTAAGAAACCATGTCTAAAGAACTGAAGTATAATGCCAGCACAGTGACTCACGCCTGTCATCTCAACACTTTGGGAGGCTGAGGTGGGCAGACTGCTTGAGCCTAGGAGTTTGAGACCAGCCTGAGCAATATGGCGAAACCCCATCTCTATCCCCAACAAAAAATACAAATATATATATTTTTTTCATATATATAAAAATATATAAAAATTTTATATATATATATATATATAAATTATATATATATGTTTTTTTTTTTTGAGACAGAAGTCTCACTCTGTCACCAGGCTAGAGTGCAGTGGCGCAGTCTCAGCTCACTGCAACCTCCACTTCCTGGGTTCAAGAGATTCTTCTGCCTCAGCCTCCTGGGTAGCTGGGATTACAGGCACCTGCCACCACGCCCAGCTAATTTTTGTATTTTTAGTAGAGATGGGGTTTCACCATGTTGGCCACACAGGAGTATGAACCCTATTGTGATCGGTGCATTCAAGGGATCTAGGTTGTGCACTCCTTATGCAAATCTAATGCCTGATGATCTGTCACTATCTCCCATCATCATCAGAGGGAACCATCTAGTTGCAAGAAAACAAGCTCAGGGCTCCCACTGGTTCTACATTATGGTGAGTTGTATAGTTATTTCAATACATATTATAATGTAGCAATAATAGAAATTAAGAGTGCACAGGCCGGGCGCGGTGGCTCAAGCCTGTAATCCCAGCACTTTGGGAGGCCGAGACGGGCGGATCATGAGGTCAGAAGATCGAGACCATCCTGGCTAACCCAGTGAAACCCCGTCTCTACTAAAACTACAAAAAAACTAGCCGGGCGAGGTGGCGGGCGCCTGTAGTCCCAGCTACTCGGGAGGCTGAGGCAGGAGAATGGCATGAACCCGGGAGGCGGAGCTTGCAGTGAGCTGACATCCGGCCACTGCACTCCAGCCTGGGCGACAGAGCGAGACTCCGTCTCAAAAAAAAAAAAAAAAAAAAAAAAGAAATTAAGAGTGCACAATAAATGTGACGTGCTTGAGTCATCCTGAAACCATCCCCGCCCCCCAACACCGTCTGTAGAAAAATTGTCTTCCCTGAAACTGATCCCTGGTGCCAAAAAGGTTGGGGACCACTGTAGTAATATGTACATAACAAAATATGTGTTAACCAATTATTTATGTTATTGGTATGGCTTCTGGTCAAGAGTAGGTTACCAGTAGTTAAGGTTTGGGAGGACTGAAAGTGATGCGTGAATTTTTGACCTCATGAGAGGCTGGTGCCCCTAACCTCCACATTGCTCAAGGGTCAAGTGTATAAAGAACGATCTAGGGCCGGGCACAGTGGCTCATGTCTGTAATCCCAGAACTTTGGGAGGCTGAAGCGAGTGAATCACCAGAGGTCAGGAGTTCGAGACCAGCCTGGCCAACATGGTGAAACCCCATCTCTACTAAAAATACAAAAATTAGCCAGAAATGGTGGCACACACTTATAATCCCAGCTACTCTGGAAGCTGAGATAAGAGAATCACTTGAACCCGGGAGGTGAAAGTTGCAATGGGGTCAGGATCAAAGTCTGTCACTGTCTGGGTGATAGAGCAAGGCTTCATCTCAAAAAAAAAAAATCTAAATCTTGTAGACTCTGCCTCAAAGATTCATTCCCATCACAAACCTACATGTACCCGACATTTACGGTGCACACTCAATGCTGCAAAACAGAGGACAAAAATCTCTAAGAAAAAGGACATTTTTTCTCTGCCTATACAAAGACAGGCAAGTTTCCTCTTTTATGAAAATACAAACAGAAGAACCTGGAGGCTGGATGACTAACCTGCAGGGCATGGAAGGCATGGGCACAGCCCATGGACACCCCCAACTCACACTAATAGGGCAGGGTAGCCATACTGCACCCGCAGCTCCCAGTAGGGCAGGACCACAACACTCACCTCGAGTTCTTCACTGTCTTTGGGCTTCTCTTCCGAGGTCTGTTTAACAAAGTCAGGGATGAGGATTTCCAGTGTAGCTCGGGCTATGAAAAAAAAAGAGCCTGAGGGTAAGGCTTGGGCACTGCCCTCTTCTCACCATCCTGCAGAGTGAACTGTGCACTGCTGCCTCCCATCCCCACAGCTCAGGGGCTGAGCGAGAGCCCTGAGGAGTGGCAGCACTTCAGAGACAGGGTCGGGACAGGACAGACAAAAAGCCCGTTCTAAAGAAAAGAGACGTGTGTCAGGCTGCGGGAAAGCCTCACAGGCCATACTGGGTATGTGCGCTCTCACCCTGGGGTCCTGGGAGCAGGCAGGGAGGAGCTCGGAGCTGTGTGTTAGGGAACCACTTTGGTGGTACACGACAAAACAGCTTCGTGGGCCCTGGACCACACAGGGAGGCCTGAGAGCAGGCTGCTGCAGGTACCTAGACCAGGTGGCAACGGTAGTGGCTGGCGTGGGTGGAGAGATGCAGCCAGGTCTGAGAGACGTTAGAGGGGGCTGCCGGAGGGCAGAGCACAGGCATGGCGACTGGGGTCAGAGGTGCCGTAGCCAACGGCTGATGGCTCCATAGACCCCACAGAGCTATGAGTGCTGGCAAGACATGGAGCCAAGATGTCTATAGGGCAGCCAGAGTCTGGGCAGGGGAAGTAGGTTCCAGCACATGGGGAGGAAAGCGGGTGACCCCGCAAAGGGAAGAGCACACAGCCATGCCCAAGGCATCTCCACCCCACACAAGACCCCACTGCAAGTTATCTGTCAAAACCTCCACCACACCCACTTTGTTGAGCTGCAAAAGTCTCTTAGGCAGAATCTCTCTAAGATGGGCAGTAGGTCTTCTGGAAAACGCATGGCAATGACAGATACCTCAAAAATTGACCTGTAGGTGCCAAGGCCTGGTATACACCCAACACCACCCTACAAGAGGCCAACTAACCCTGACGCTGAGGCAAATGGCTTTTCGTGAAAGAACGTCAACTACCATGAATGCACAGCATGAATGCAAATGGCAAGGGCATGGTACAAAAGGGCAGTGGGTCTTCACCAGGACACATGGCCTTCCCAGAGCTGTGCTGTGCCAGGTGTTCTGGCTAGGCACAAACATGGAGTGGGAGGACTCAGGAAATAGTGCTGGTAAGAGCCAACACCACTGGGGGAGGATGCCGACAGCACGCGGGCCCGCTTCTCCTCCCTCCTGGCATGCCCACATGCTGCTCAGTTTAAAAACAAACAAGCACTACAGCGTGTGCCCAATACAGCCCAGTTGGCTCTAGGCACACCCCTGAATATGTGCAGGGCCAGGACTAGGGAGGGATATACTGGCCCAGCTGTCACTCAGTAGAGACACCTTCTACTTTTTTTCTTTTTTTTTTTTTTGAGACGGAGTCTCGCTGTCGCCCAGGCTGGAGTGCAGCGGTGTGATCTCAGCTCACTGCAAGCTCCGCCTCCCGGGTTCACGCCATTCTCCTGCCTCAGCCTCCCAAGTAGCTGGGACTAAAGGTGCCCGCCACATCGCCCAGCTAGTTTTTTGTATTTTTTTTAATAGAGACGGGGTTTCACCGTGTTAGCCAGGATGGTCTCAATCTCCTGACCTCGTGATCCGCCGGTCTCGGCCTCCCAAAGTGCTGGGATTACAGGTTTGAGCCACCATGCCCGGCCTCCTTTTTTTTAGACAGAGTCTTGCACTGTCGCCCAGGCTGGAGTGCAGTGGTGCGATCTCGGCTTACCACAAGCTCTGCCTCGCTGGTTCATGCCATGCTTCTGCCTCAGCTTCCTGAGTAGCTGGGACTACAGGTGCCCGCCACCACACTCGGCTAATTTTTTGTATTTTTAGTAGAGATAGGATTTCACCATGTTAGCCAGGATGGTCTCGATCTCCTGACCTCGTGATCCACCCCCTTGGCCTCCCAAAGTGCTGAGATTACAGGTGTGAGCCACCGCATCTGGCTGAGGCCTTCTACTTTTAAATCTCACATTTTACTCTATTTGAGTCTTTTCCAATGAGCATGTAATTTTAAAAATCAAAGTAGATGATTACATAAATAAAATAAACATGCCCCACCCACACCCGCCACTTGTCACCACTGCTCAGCCCCTCCCTAACCAAGCAGCAAGGCAGACACAGCAGGCAGCATGTATCTTTGACACCCAAGCAAGCATATTACCAGCTTTATTCTTCGCAAGTTTTTTGCTGCTTGCAGTTCCAGATCCGTACGTCACACCATCAATGGTCACCGAGGCACCAAAAGGCTCACTTGGGTTCTCTTAAAATTAAAATTACTTGTTTTAAAACATACTAGTCAAGACATTAAAAGCGTGTAGACAGTCTGCCCACAGCGACAGACAAGGCGCAGTCAGGGGCTGTCCCTGAAGAGAGTCAGCCTGTGTTTGACTGCAGAGACCTGGGGTTCCCTGGGACTGGAGATGGGCAGCGGACAGGCAGCAGCAAAGGGCACAGCTGGGAAAGTGGAGGGAAATGCGGCACATGGGAGATGGTGAGCCAGAGGGGCGGCAGAAGGCTGAGGGGCAGAGCCTCCTATGACAGGGACTGAGGTCTATGAAAGACGGACACAGGACTGTCGGAATGGGAAAGCACAAGATGTTGCTTGCCAAAGAAACACCACCCCAAAGGATAAGTGACCCCCAGGCTCCAGCTTCCAAGGGGAAGATAGACTGGTCTTCACAAAGGTGTGTGATGAGGGCGCCCAAGGAAAACAGAGCTGGTGGGAAATGTATGCCCAAGGAACCTTCAGACACCCAGGGGCACCAGGAGACCAGGGAAAGGACCCAGTGCACAGTGGGAAGGACTTGCTTGCAATAAGGCTGTCCATGACAACATAGGATCAGAAACCGGCAAAGCAGATGGGGCAGGACAAAAGGAAGGTGGGGAGAGGGGACAGACTAGAAGGGGAAAACAGAGCACCCACTCAGACGGGGCGTGGCTCCAGGAAACCAGCCACCCATCTGTAGCACGTTGCTCTCTACCTTCCCTTCCCTCCCATCCCAGTAGAGGAGGGCTAGTGGTCAGCGCCTGCCTCCCCAGCCCTGACTGAAGTGACACCTTGTGACTCTTTAGGACTGACATGGGGAAGGTTAGACTTACCACATTCAAAGAAATTATAGACAGGGCGGACCTTGAGGACACGCTGCATGTACTCGTGCAGGATGCAGACCTCGGATTTCCCATTGGGGTTAATGACAAACTCTGTGACAAAAAGGATCATCTCAGCAAGTGTGAAACAGTGCCACAAGCCAGCACACAGCTTCCTGTTACCATGTCAGTAACTAGGGGCTCACCACCGTGAATGTGGCAGACCCCTGCATTCATGGGATAAACGTAAGCTTTGAACGAAATGCAACTCATAAAACATGCCCTCAACACATCACATTAGAAATAAAAACACAATCAGTCTGCTGATGTTAAAACACAGAGGCTTATACCTTTCTTTGTGGGTGCATCTTGCACTGATAAAGTAATGAGCTTCTGATTGGCCGGCAAAATGGGCCTCTCGGACTCCGCCTGCTTCCGCTTCATTTCCCGATTGAATTGCCGCCGCTCAGCCCAAGTCCTGAATTTCTTCACAGTAACTTGCTCAAAATCAAAACGCTTCTCCAGGTAGCTTCGAAATTCCTCGAGATCTGTCCCAGATTTACCAGAGAACCAAATTACTTAACTTCCAACATAGGAGTCAGGTTCTCACAGCCCAGTGCGTGGGGCAGGCCCAGGTCACGTTACATTATTTCCCTTCCCCGTCCCTTTCAAAGGGGAGGGAAGCAAAAGAATGAAGCCCTCCCTACAGCAGCTCAGATTATTCTGGCAGGTCCCTTCCAGATGAATTTCTGAGACGTTCTTTTACTTCATTTGGGGCAAGAAGAATATAAAAATAAAAACGAAAAAAGAAAGCTTAAAAAAGTCAGATGGCCTTCGGGACCTCCTCCCTGCATCAAAATAGGTGCCAGAACGCCAGCAGCACCCGGGCTCCATGCGCCCACCACCTCTGACCACCTCTTTTCCTTCTGGCCATCCTGGCCACCTCTGTAGTCAGCAACACACCCAGGCAGCTCCCTGCACAGGGTCTCGCATTTGTCACATTTCCTCCCGGGCCACTTCCCCATCCTTGGCAAGAGCCCCCATCACAGGCTCTTCTAGGGCACCCCACACTCCACGGAGTTATGAGACAGGCTGGGTAGTGATGTACAGACAAACAGAAACCTAGAAAATGGAAAGTGCTCTTTGAAAGTAATCCAGCAGGTGGGTTCACAGAGACCTGCCGCACCTGAAGAGAGAACTAAGACTTAAATGGTGGGACTAGGCTAAAAGACATGGAAGAGAGAATGGGAAACACCAGTATACATCCAACAGGCAATTGCAGGATTGAAGAGGGAACTGTCCACAAAATGGTGACAGTTTCCCAACACTGAGTCATGGATTAAAGAGGCTCATTGAGCTCATCAAGATAAATCAAAACAATGCCACATGAGCACATCCTACTGAAAAAGCAAGACTTAGGGAAAGATCATACAAACAATCAAAGAGAAAAGGGCCCACTGCCAGTGCCAGCAACCATCTCCCCAGCAGCCTCAGCCATGCAGGCCCTGCAGAGCCCAGGGACAGGAGCCTCGGGTGCTGCGCCCAGGCAGGTTCTTGCAAGGACAGAAAGACAAGCCTTTCAGCCACATCAACAGTGGAGGTGTGCAGCCCCTTGCTGACAAGTACAACTAGGAACAATGATGACCTTCATTAGAAAAACAAAGCTCATGGGTCCCAGGAGGCAAGAAGGGAAGAGTCCTTCAAAACTCACCAACGGATTCGTCTTTGCACACCTCGACTTTGGCCTTCACCTGCCCCAGGGCCCCAGGGGCTGCCTCAGCCCCTAGTGGGTCTTTCTCATCTGGGGGCCCCGGGTCAGCACCCATAGAGTCAGGCTCATCCAGGGGAAACTCCAGCTCTGCAGATCGGCTCAGAGGCTTGACAGGGGACACATCCCCACTAGGGGTGAGGTCACTGCTTTGCTCCCGTTCCTCGTTGTCCTTCATTTTCTTATAATGCAGGCAAGGGATGCTACTCAGAGGAGGGTCGTGTTTCTGTGGATAGTGAAATTGCAATATGGATTACAAGGACAACCCGAGAGTCTGAAACTCTGATGCCTTTCACCGGCCTCTGCTTGGCTGCGGTGCCACGTGTGGGGATGTGCACATTTTGGTCTGAGAACTTACAAGCCTAAAGTCACGACTGATGCCTCCCCTACCCGTATGCTTCCCGTTCCCAAGAAGTATGGCCTGGACCAGGTGACCACCCGAGACTCTCTGTGTAGGTACACTGGGACTCCAGAGTTATGGAATGTCATGATCCACCCGTCGGGCAGCGGTTCTGTAGGTGGGCGGCCACGACCTGCACAGGAAGACAAGAACATCCTATAATCACTGTAAAAACATTTGGAATTGTTGTCACAGCACCTCCTGCACAAGAAATTGTTGGGTACTATGTATGTGTTTATCTGGATCTTCACAAAGAATCGAAGTTCCTCTCTCCTTCCTCACTGCTATGCCTCTAGGCCTAGGACAGATAGCATGTGGCCTGAGGTGGGAATTTACATGTGTCAAACCAGTACATGAAGGAGCACAGAACAGGTCTGTGCAAGATACAAGTCCCAGCCTCAGCTCCTGCCTCCACATCTGGTAAGCATTGTAGACACTGGACTCCTCTCCTGTCTGCCTGGCTGTGGCCAGAGGCGCCTTGGGGCTGGGTGAGCTTTGCTAATAAACTGCATGGCTGTCAGCCACTGCTCCCAGGGACCAGGTGACAAGTCTTCATTGTAACTGAGCTGCACTCTCAGCAGCATACAAAACACTGCTTCAAATGATTCCGTTTCTAAGTCAGTTAAATGCACTACTCTCAACCCCTTCTTTGCTTTATAGCCAGTTGTGAGGAAGAGGTTTATAACTTATCAACTTGACACCTGCCACCAGGCCGACTGCTGGGAAGAGCATAAGGCAAAGATGTAACTAAAACTTAACTTTCTCACAGGTATTGGGAACAAATTAAAAACTTAGAAAGACCAGCCTAGGCAACACAACAAGACCCCGACTCTACAAAAACCTTTTAAAAATTATCCATGGCCGCACACACCTACAGTCCCAGCTACTTGGAAGGCTGAGGGGGTAGGATCACTTGAGCCTGGGAGGCTGAGGCTGCAGTGAGCTATGATCATGCCACTGCACTCCAACCTGGGTAACAGCAAGACCCCACCTCAGAAAAAAAAAAATTAGAAAACAGAAGAAAACAAATTAAATCTTAAAAAATATACATAAGGGGGAAAAGGGCCAGTGACTCTCAGGGCCAGGTTCCCACCAAGTGGCCCTGACCCTGGACCTGACACCTGCACCCAGGTCACCATCAGGTGATTATCCAGGAAGGGAGTGTTAAAGGTCAGGGTGCACGCACACTGCGGGGGTGCTCTCCCCACGGAGTCAGGCCCAGATGGAGCTGCCTCCTGCCAGCTTTGGGCTAAGTCAGGAAAAGAAGCAAAGTGAATAAGGAGCCAGGCAAGAGACGGGCCACAGGTCCGCTGGGGCTGCTCCTCTGTGACTGTGAGTGGACACAAAGCTGGCCCAGCCACCTGAGGGAGGGATCCCATGCAGCTGTCCATCTGTGAGCGTCCAGGCATCCAGGCCAGAATGGCTGCTGACTTGTGAGCTGTGCAGGACGAACATGGGTTTACCTTCTGAATGAGCCTGCTGAAACTGCAGCACCAAACCAGCCTCCTAGAGGCCCTGAGGTCAAGCCTCCTGTCCCCAGCCCCAGAAGCTGAAGCCCCAGGTTTACCCTGCCTGCAACCTTCTGGCCCAAAAGCCCTCCTGCTTAACTGCTACCAACACGACATAGGCAGCAACATGTGGCACCTGGCATGGCTGACTTGTCCCCTCAGTGGCCCAAAGAGGATGGCCATGTGCCACCCGCCCCTTGCTTTGCTCCCAGTTGCACCCTACCACCTTCTGCACCCCAGCCCTCAGCCTGCGGTCTCACCTGTGAGCATGAGTCCCCGTGCATCTCTTTAGTCCCTCTACCGAGTCCCACATCTCCACCAAGACCCTCACAGGTGCCTCCAAGCCACCAACTCCAACTCCCCCAACACCTGCACCACATCGACGACAGAGCCTCACAGTGCAACTCTGGGTGCCTCCCAAGTGCTCTCCCCACTGCCCTCAACTCAAAGTTGAGGAAGTGCCACATCTACCAGGGCACTTCCACCCTGCCCACCTGAAGTGCACACACCATGTGTGGCCCAGAAGCCATGTTGTTAAACAAAAATCGGGTAACACCACTTGCTTCTGGTGGCTTCCTATGACACTTGGTAAAGAACCAGAACCTGGACCACAACTATCACCTGCCATCTCACTGTGCACCCACCTCTGCCCTTGGCCTGCCTCCACACCCTCCAGCTAACGGTCATGCTGGCTCCTGGCATGCACCAACATCTCCTCCTGACCCCCTCAGAAGTCCCCTCCCATTCCTCTGCACAGTGCCTGCTGCTCTGTGGTTTCCATAGCACACACCAGGATCTGAATCTGGGTCAGGCACCAGGACGTCCTTGCATCCTTACATCCTGTGTTTCCCTCCTCAGACAGGACCGTCCTGTCCTCAAACATGCCTCCACCCAGCGCACTACCTGGCACCAGAGCTCTCTCAAAGCATTTCTGCTAAGGAAGCAACTACCCTTCCACTGCCCTGGAACACCCACCACTTCTGACCCACCCACGTACTTTTGAGCACTGTTTTAATCTTGGTCATCATCGGCTGCACACTCGTCTCTCCATCGGACGGATGGTCGCTGTCTCCGCCATATTTTTCCTCTGTTCGCCTCTTTTTGGGGGCACAAAGGCCTTCTTCCAGCAGAGCATCCACATCGTTGTCAAAGTCATCCTGAAAAACACGCTGTTCAGACACCAGAGCCCCCGGCGCTCATGCTCCTGCACCAGGAGAGCTCAACAGCATTCCTGAGAACAGACACAGAAAGGAGGTGCTCTCACGGGGCCTAGATGTGCCCTTAGGGTGCATGATCATCTGAAAAACAAATGGGATGAAGCTACCAGCTGACACCAACACGCCTGGTCCAGGGGCACACACTGCCAAGGAGTGTCTCAGCAGCACCTGTTGCCTCAGGTGCTGGATCAGGGGTGCAAGGCCTATCCATGGGCCAAACTTTTCATTAGGAAATTTTAAAAATGTGGACTCCTTACATCTTTCTCTTCTCCACAATAACATTATTCCACCTCAGAGACGATTTTGGCTTTTTTTCTTTTTAAATTTCCCTGCTTTCAAAAGATGCTGCAATTTCCAAATCTCTCTTTGGGTTTTGCTAAGAGCCCTCTAAAGGAGGGGCTGCCAACATACCTCGTAGGGGAAATTCAAGGCCTCTTCATCCACTCTGTCTCTCTGAACGATTGCTTTAGCCGTGAACCCGCCTGCTCCTTCTTCATCTAGCTCCAAATTGTCAGTAAAATCTTCTAACTCATCGAGCACTGCATACTCCACTCTCTTTTCCTGATCCAGCTCATTCTCCTCATCCTTCTTATCAGCACTCTCACCCCCTATGCCTACCCCGTCACCAACACTCCCGCCAAAGGGACAAGCATGCACGTCCCCAATGACAGGGCTAAGGAGCAGACCGCACTCCGCCCGCACGTCGCGCTCTGCTCCTGTGTACAGCACCTTCCTGTCCTTACTCCTGCAGCTCTCGGTAAAGCTCACGCTAATCTTTACATCCTTAAGCAACTTAAGGTCAGGGGAGAACTTCCGGACCGCGGGTGCGTGCCGGGCGGTGCGCGGGCTGTGGCCACTACAGTTCGGGTCTATGAGGAGGCGGCCCTTAGAGAAGGATCCTTTGGAGAGAAGAGAAGCTCCGTAGAAGTTGAAGGGGTCCTCGGCAGGGAGTTCGGACTGTCCATCACCACCAGAGCCAACGTCCATTACCTCTGCACCACTGGACGTTTGCAGGGGAGGTGGTGGAGACTGCTCACGGGGCAGCGCTTGGAAGGGGCGAGCTCGGCTCTCCATCACCGCTTCTCCTGCGGGCCCACACGGGAGCGGAGAGGGGCTCTCATCTGTCTCCATATTAAAAGCGCTTAAGACTAGTTTACAAGACCAGAGTTTTACAAGCCCTCACATAAATCTACACAGCTAACATGCAAAAGTCCGCTGAGACCCAGGCGCATCCTGCCGCGCTGTGCGCTGGCGGCTTAGTCAAGCTGGCCACATTGCTCTTTTCATTAATGTAGACAGCTTTTAGAACCACTGCCTCAATTATTGGAAATCACAATGCACTCAGCTTAAGTGATTGGCGACTAAGCGAGTCTGTCTTCATGCCGGAGTGGCACCTTTCTTCTTCTACCTGCAAAGAAATTTAAAAATATCATCACAAAATGACAGAAACCTTCCACTTCCCTGGTACCAAGTTAAAAGTCAAGCACTATTAACAGCACAGTAAAGGGCTTCAAATAATATTCCCTAAGAGGACCTTTCAGGCATCAGAACAAATTAACCTTACTTTTTTTCTTCAGAACCTGAATTATAACTTAAGTCCAAAATTAAATATTTTGTTAACTGCCCACTTTAATTCCTACTTCAGAAACACAAAAACTATATAATCATAAGGCTCAAAAAGTATTTTAAAAATTTACACTAAACCCCACCACAGCATTCTTCTAACTCAGATAAGCAAGCATGCGGTGGGAGGCACCCTTTCTGGAACACACAGAAGGCACGTGGCCTCCCTCAGGCCACTAGAGCACAGCAATCCACTCACCTGAAAGGGCTGGGTCAGTCAGAGGGCGAGCGCGAGACCCTCAGCTCAACTCTGCGGCACTAGGGGCCTCAGAGGCATGGCCAGGCGCTCTGCTACTCAGGGACCCCAGGGCTCTCCTGGGCCCACAGGGTAGCACGTGGACGGGGACAGTGATGCAGCGTGCTGAGGTCACCAGAGGTGGCAGCATAGTTCTGTTCCCGATGGAGGAGAGGGGTGGGTGGCTGTGGGGAAGGGACCTGCCAGGATTTGGGGTGGGGAGCCACAAGAGACAGCTGGAGCCGAGGCACAGAGAGGCCTGGGTGCCATCTGCAGCCTGTTCCGCCCTAGGGACAATAAGGAGCCACTGAAGGTGAAGCGACTCTCATGCCACAAGTAGGTTTCTGCTTGAGAGAGGAGACCCACAGCTGTGCCAGGCAGAAGCAACTGCACCCGAGGCACGGGGACAGTCCTCCAGGCCAGAGGACAAAGGTGTAAAAGAGGCCCAGGCAATGGGCCAAGAACAGTGTCACAGAACTGACCGCACTTGTTGACCCAGTGGAGGTGGAGAGCAGAGAAAAGAGGGAACTAAAGACAAGGAAGGACACCCAAATTCCAGCATGCAGGCAGGAGCCTGGCGAGGAGAACGGAGGGGACCTCCAGGCAGGCTCTGAAGGTGCCGAGGTCACAACTCTGGAGCCATGACTGGCCCAGATACGGAAGGCCAAGATCCACTGAGGAGGTAGTCGCCAAACCCACAGGAGGAAGGCCGCCCCGAGATGAGGGTTAAGGACGAAACTGTAGGAAGCCTTACTACAGATGAAGCATGAAGAAAGGGACAACATGAAGCAGGGAAGATGGGTCTAAGGGGGCAGCCAGAAAACCTTGCATCAGAGCAGGAGGAGCACATGCAGACACACGCACATGCACACTCACAGAACGTGCACAGGAACACGCATGCATGCACATGCGTGCACACCAGTAAAGATGCACACATGCAAACCGCACTGCATGACATAACATCCTCCCAAGATTCCCAGAAAGAACAGGAGATGCAGACATCACGCATTTAACAAGGGATAGGGCATGGTGGCTGTACTTCGAAGGGGACATGACATGAAAACCAGAGACTAGTTTAGGTTTACTCAATACATTGAACAACTATCCACTGGCAATCTACTCTGAGGAACGCACTACATGGACAAGAGACAAGGTTACAGGGCCTGGACACACTGGCAGGGCAATGACCACTGTGCTGTCACCCCATTTCCTGGATTCTAGGATGTCCTAACATTTCTGAATCCAATGGGAATTTCACACAGTACATCTCGAAAGATGTGTCCATCAAAGGTGCTAAGGATCCAAGAAACACAGCACATAACTGACTATGATCCAGAAAACACAGCACATAACTGACTATGATCCAG